ACTCCAAATTGCAAAAACTGGAAAACCCTTCCACCCACTATAATAGGGGGTTTCAAGTCAGAAATTTCTTGTGAAACTTTTTAAAAAAACGGACAAGTTTTTTAAAATTTACGGTATATCTTGCAACATTGGACAACTTGTTGGATTGTAAAATATTGTAAATCTCTTGACTTGAAACCCCCTAACAATGACCAGATGATGGTATAATAGGGGGTTTCAAGTTGCATTTTTTACAGTATTTTTACAAGTGCAACAACTTGCCTGTTTGTTGTTGTAAAAATTACAGTAAACTTACAAATTTGGGACACCTTTTTTAGGTGTCCCAAATGCTGTCGACTGTAGAAGTTTACAAACTTATCCGTTTTGTAAAAGTTTTACACAGAAATTTCTCAAGTTGAGATCCCCAAACAAAGACCTCTTTGACGGGGAGAGTGGCTCCATTGAGACACAGAAAAAAGGTGTGTCTCCACTTTAAGGGTAATCAAACTTTGAAAACCAGCAAGGGTGACGTAGTCAGACTCAGCACATGAAACATCATGGCATGAACATCTTACTGGCTGGAACAAACAACATGCTAGTGGAGCTAGAAGGTCTGCCAGACGTAAGGACTTGAGAGCTATCAGAACTGAGGACAACATGAGTCAGCAAGACATTTTAAAGGAAAGAGAGCAGAGCTATTGTACCAAACACTGGTATATTAGGTGTAAACCAGAATATAAAGCACCTTTAAGTCAGAGGGACTAGTTCAGGGAAAAACAGAGTGAGCAACTCCAGATCAGAAGAAAACTTCAAGAAGTTCCTTGGACTGGACTCACAAGAGATAAGCCAGGAAAAGTAATCTCCTCTCCAATTGTAGCACCAGACAAGACCACATGTTGATGGGACACAAGCAGATTCAAAACAGGGTGACCTCCAATATAAGGGCAATAAGCATCCAAAGACCATCTACCCATTGTTTGAATAAAGTTCTAAGGTATTCCCTTTTGAGCTAAGGCCATCACACCTCCCAATCAAAGTGAATGACCGGAACAAGCACCCTAAAAGATAAGGTCAAGGCAATTGATGAACCGGGAGAAAGTGGGGAGAGAGCTGTTTGCATGGATTAACCAGTAAGGATTGATGGGAAAGCTTAGGTCTCTGTTGATGGTGTAGGACATGAGAAAGTTGACAGGGCAGGTGTATTTGCCTTTCCAATACAAAATCACCACTGTGGAACTTCTGTACTTTTGGTCACCCTTGTAATATGGAAGAGTATAAGTTGCAATGGTGCCAGAATTTGAGATGAGGAAGGAAGATCAATGAATGTATTTGTGAGGGTTGTGGCAAGAGATATTGTTGGGGTCAATTAATTCCCCCAAGCAATGAAGGCCAGCTAATCCTAAATCAATAATCGTATTGAACAATGGATTTCAAATGTAGTGTTGAACACAGAGGCACATAACACAATATCACAAAGGGTCATAGGCAAAGCTTGACAAGTTGGAAGAGAGAAGAGATTTTTGATGGCTTGTAAAGAGCAACAAACCTGGTCGGAGGATCTAGCTTTGACCACAAAGGGGAAGCTGTCTTGGAGGAGTTGGGAAAGGCCAGTAAGGTAGACACTTACCTAAATTGGAGCAATTTGGTGGCCAACAATTGAGACAAAGTGGGAAAGGTTTGCTTCATCTGGGTAGTGTTATGGCCTGCGTCAGGGGGCCTTGATGTTGGGGGACAGAGAGAGGGAGAAGGATGAGAACTACTATATATGATCATTGTAGCATGAGGGAAAAGTGTAAAACAATTGGAGTGCTGTCTAGTAAGAGGTTGAGGTTCCCATTTGTCACAAGTTGTGACACCTAAGTTATCTGTGATAGGATTATAACACTATCCCCCTTGGGAAAAAACCTCACCCCTCTCACATACGCCAGATCTTCTGTATTCTTCCACTGCCTGCAGATATTTTGAATTGAACTTGTCCATCAGTACATTAGGGTTTGTGACATTTGCCTCTGGCTCCCACAAATCTTCTGATATTCCATACCCTTTCCAACTACTCAAGTACTCAATCTTCTTATTTTGTATCTGTTCATCTAGGACAGCCTTGACTTTGTACTCCTCCTCACCATCTATTTCAACAGGATATGGCAGTGCCTGATGTCTCTCTTCAATAAGGTCAGGTAATTCAGGATGAGCCCTGTCTCCGGAGGAGACCACTGATACGGTAGTCGGGCAAAGGCTGTATAGTCCCCAACCCCCAACCGACTCTGTCAAGTTGGTAGCCGGGCTGGGGTAGGCAGATCCCCAACTTTTCTCGGAGAACCGGCACCTAGGCACCTAAGTAATGAACCATATTTGAAGAGGGAGTATATACTAAGGGAGGTCGGTATGAGAAAAATGATGTGATCAATTGGTGGAAAAATTTACAACCATGAATAATGTTTAACAAGAGTTTAGACAGCAAGGTTGAAAAAAAACAAGAAAACAAGTAAAGGTAAAATCAATATAAGATACCAAAATAATTGATCTTTTTTTTTCTTAAAGCATTTTAGCATATTTGCATACTACACTGAAAAACATTTCAAACAAGAAGACTTTTGCCTTAGAAGGATGGCCAGTAAGTCAGAGCTTAAGAAACATTTTGGTTTTGCACATTGGGAACTTGCAGGTACTCGGCGGAAAACTGGCATTTTGGTGGGACACCAATTTTTTGGTGTCGGGGACCAGGCTGAGGGTCTTGGTATAGATCCCCACCGGGGCGGGGTCGGCTCAGAAGCCGGGCTGGGGTTTGGCTTTTTGCTTGGGGGTCGGTTTGGGAGGTCTCCAAGCCCAACAGGCCAGGTATCGTCCTGACCGGTAAGTTCTTTCTTAATACTAACATGTGAAACACAGGGTGTACTTTACTTGTGCTTGTTGGTAATCATAGTTTGTAGGCCAGAATCAAGACTTTCTTTTAAATATTGAACAGTCCTAATCGACAGTGATCTAATTTGGCTGAGGGTCTTGTCCTTGAGATGTGGCAACTGTTGAGCCAAACCTCATCACCTATTCAGCTCATGTTGAATTTCTTCAATATTTTTCAATCTTTCTTCCCCTTTGGGTTTACAGCATTCTGTAGACAGGATTCTTCCAAACAAAAGGTCATACCCCATGTTTGCTTTGAACAGCAAGACTCCAGTAGATGTGTGTGTGTGCTGTTGTTATATGTAAACTCCGCCAATGGTAAGTGGTCAGTCTAATTGTCTTGGCGGTAACTCCTTAAATGGTGCAGGTATTGTTCAACTGGTTTATTGAAAATTTTGGTTTGGCCATTGGACTGTGGATGGTAAGCAGTTGACGGGTGGATGTCAATACCTAATTGCTTATTCAGAGATTTGGTTAGTTTTGAAATTAAAACACTTCCTCTATCTGAAACTATTGACTTAGGTGCGCCATGCAGCTTCCACATGTTAGCTAACATCAGATTTGCTAATTCACCTGATGACATCTCTGTTGTGCATGCAATGAAGTGGCTCATATTTGTTAGCTGGTTGACCACTGTAAAAATACAATTCATCCCTTGGGACAATGGCAAATTTAATCAGATCATAACTTCTGTTGGTCCATGGTTGGGCCGGTATTGTTAGTGGTTTGAGAGATCAAGCTTGAAGGTTTGACTTGTGTGCATGGATCACAACCGTCTACAAAGCTCTTCACATAAGTCTTCATCAGTTTCCATTTGTGCTGTCTTTGCACTAAGCTTAATGTTTTTGCTCTTCCAGGGTGGCCCGCCAATACACTGTCATGTTGACTTCTTATAAAGATTTCAAACTTGCATGTCTTATCATCTGGCACTTCAACAATACCTCTATGGTACAACACCCCATCATGCACTTCATACCCTTGCAACACGTCTTTGATCTCTGGTATTGACAGTGTATCCAGTGTGCTGATCAGACCCTGAATTCAAGTGTCTGTCTTTGACTTCTCTCAAATCTGGTCCATGATCATGTCATCTGTCCATATTGGTAATTGTGCTTCCATCCCCAATGTGTTGATTTCTAGGGCTTCTGTCAGTGCATGCTGACAAATGTCATTTTCAAACCATTCTTCTACATCACTATGCTCTATTGACTTGTCTACAATGTTTCTCAAATGTCACACCACAGGAATCATCAAGTGTGAACCACAATTGGTCAAAGTTGTGGTGACTAGGTCTGTGACTTTCTTCAATTGTACATCTTGTTTGCTCCAGGTTTACCATAGGTTTGCTAGCTTGCCTCGAGTTGCCCTTGAGTCATCCACTACATATGTAACTACAATACCACATTTGTAGTGAAGCTCATGGTGAAAGACAACTCACAAGAAGTTGTCAGAGACATCCTCTTCAGTAGACCTACTTAGTTGGTAGTGCGATATGTGAAAGCAAAAGCACTTTGAAATGAAAACTGAATAAATAAAACAAAAGAGCAGCTCAAGGGAAGCAAGCAAACCCATAGCAAACCTATGGCAAACAAGATCCACGCTTAAAGAAAGTCGCAGACTCAGTCACCGCGACTTTGCTCACACACTTAATAAATCCCGTGATACTGGGCATGTTTTGAACACATGGTTGAGCATGGTTGCCCTTAAAGTTTGGACCGTAGTGTATGTAACTTAACAAAGTCCCTGTCATCTGTCAGACTTCGGAGGCAAGTTCGGAGCTGTTCGGAGATGAGGGACTTTGTTGAGTTAGGGTATCCTGATAGATCCATATCTATACATATGCTTCTTTCTTCAACATTGTGCAGGGAATGGAGAAATCCTATCTACATACATATGTCTACGTATCATGATACTTCAGATGATATGAGAGCTGCGACGCGTAAAGAGCAAGGATGTAAACCATACTGGATAAATTCGATAAAGCAACTGATACTGACCTTATATGCGATCATATACGTGCTATGTGACGCACTTGTGTTTCCATATATGATATACCCTTGGAACATTCTGTGTGAGAGAGGCGCGGTACCCTTGATTTCGCAACCACCACGAGAGGCTCGATGACCGACAGCGCCCATCATTGCACCTCTCTATACTCAGTAACAACGCCCAGGAAACCTGGGGCAATCTGGTGCAGTGCCCCGAGAGGAAACCACCGAAGACCACCCATGCAGGAGCTGCCAAATCTGTGCAATTTAAATCATATTACTCATGATGATTCTCTAGAGTTGGCATTCAGGTTTGTACGGCCAATCAGAACTCGGATTACACATCTCGATGAATTGGGTCATCTGACGGATTTCCAAGAAGGCTTCGGGATCATGTAGGACCACGTCCACTGTATGTGGCGGCCAAGTCTTCTTGATTGGTGCTTTGTTGGCTGAATTCTGAGACTGCGATCGCCGTGCGTAAAATTCCTTTGATCTTGCATGAAAGATACATCCCCACACAGCCAATGTATTAGGGGTTGGGCGAAGCGCTGCAATAATTCAATTCAACTGTAGTTCAATTTTACTCGCACTCGAGTAAGCCACTGTTGAATCCTGTTGGAAACAATATCAAATATCACTATTATTTTTGTCCACTTTATTGCAGTAAAAAAAATAGCGTGGCGCAGCACCCTGACCGACCGTTGGTTGGGTTGGCTGTTCAAATAATCCTACCACTCGCCAGCCAAAAGCCCCTGGTAGTACGCTAGATGTTAGCGTGATCCACCTTTCACAGATGGAACTGTGGCCCCGGTGGTTCCCGTGGTGGCTTCCGCGGGGGAGCCCGATGAAGACGTTCCTGATGTTTGATGTTCCTACACCTGTGACACCAGTACCATCTGTTCCTACTATGACTTCTACACCTGAAAAGAATTCGACTACTGAAAGCTCAGATACAAGACCAACAAGTCTGGAAGTACAAAGAACGAAGCTTTATCCAAAAAGAAACCATCAGATTCAAAATCTGGTGAGTCAGAAAAACTTTACTATTCACATTTCGAATTGTTTACAAACTGAAAATCATTGCTTTGCTTCTTAGAACCTTCTACTTCCACCAACTCTGATACCAATACTGATACTGATAAAGAAGACTCTTCAACCACTAATAGTTGATCATTCCTTTATGAAAGACTTTTTCTTATAATCCTTATATTTTTTTTGGTTTTTTTATTAGGTACTTTATCAGATACAAGTGATGATACAACAATCAAAGATAAATCAAATCCAACTCATTTCAAGAAGAATGGAACTGAAAAATATGATGGCACTTCTAGTGCCTCGCAAAGTAAGTAATTGTTTTTCTGAATACAAAACCATCAATTCTAGAAACCTTTTTATTAAAACATTCATTTATCACTTTCTTTTAGGTTTGGTTTCAATCACTATGATCTTATCGAGTTTTTAACTTGGTTCTTTTCTTGAGAAGTCCACTTTCTTTTTTCTTCTGTGCACATTTTATTCAAGCTTTTCTTTATGGAATTTTGCGTATGGAAATCTTTGTATCAGGTTGTAAATAGTCAAAATAAACATGTAAATCAAGTCATCTCACTTTAACCCAGATTCATATATGTATTTCTTATCTTGTCTTTTGAACTTTGATCTCAATCATCATGAGGTCGGAGTTCACCCACTCTTGGAGACTCCAAAAGAAATCATCCAGACTCTCAATTTTCCCAAATTTCAAAAAGTTTATTCTCTCTTGACAATGCAAAAGAGAAAATATCTAAATAAAGATTATATATAACCAAAGATTATATCTTTCAAAAAAGTCATTAATGATACATGATTCAAACCAATCCAAAAAAAAACCATCCCAATTGCAACCTCTTAAAAAGAATACGTAATAAACACTTACTAAATATTCACATCCACAACCAAACAAATCCCGTTTTTTGAGCTTCGTCCACCCACATCACCCTGCCACCAAGAAAATGATTAAAGCATACAAGTATATCCGCTCCCTCGACCCCAAAATTTCAAAAAAAAGAACAGAAAATTCAAAAACAGATCTACCTCTTGTTTCCAAAGGGAAACCAGGTAAAGCTAAACCAGCCACAATAGCACCACCACCAGCTGAATAAAGTACAGTATTAGTTGATCTATCTATGACTGAACTGACTGCAATTGGTGCAATGATTGATGATAATCTTCCTAAAGTTGAAGTTAATCCACATGCTGATCCTTGGACTATTAAAGCGAACAAAAAACAATCAGTTTGGATGATGAAACAATCAAGATAGAAATAATTATTTACTTGGGCCTGGAAATGCTTCGGGTGTAAAAGCATAAAGGATAGCATTCAATAAAGTTTGAATTGAAGATTTCAAAGGAAAAGAAATCAATCAAATGATCTTGAAGTCTTTTCGGAGATAATGAAAAGAGAAAAACTCACAAAAATATTCCGATGCGTTCATAGCCACTTCAGTAGTTAAATCATCTACAATTGCACATAAACATAATGAAATTCCCATTCCAAAAGCTGAAAGGACCATTCCCCATTTCCTTCCTACATTTGGTATATCGATTAAAACATTTGCACAGAGAGCTTCTGGAATTCCAACCGAGTAGATGATAATATAATTCTACAGGAATATGAATATGCAAACATCAGTGAATTAATTGATTGAGTGAAAGAAAGACTCAGTTGCTTACTATGTAGTCGACGAAGGATTGCTTCAATTTGAGTGTGCTGGACTGTGGAGCATAGCCTGATCGTGTTGCCTCGGTCATTCAACTCTGGACGGGGCCCGAGTATTTAAAAAATTGGGATGGATCGGGGCAGCTGGACTCGGGGAAAATCTGTGATATCTCTGGCCCAAAGTATTCGGGCGACTTCGATGGTATTCGAGTGGCGGAATCCTCTGTCGCTGAAAGATGAATTGAAAAATTGCAGCGCGTCGCCCAACCCCTATTACATAGTCAAGGGGCAGAATATAGGCATCCATTATTCATTCCGCCTACACGCCCCTTTCGAGATTCAACATATTCGATCTCGGAATTTGCCAAACGATGATCGCGTTCTTCCAATCGCATTCCTGTCCCTGACCTGCCAATTGAAAGGGAGTCCTACTCTAGCACCTTCATTTGCAATTCCGCCTATGATAGTTGATCGACAACTACATATTATACTAAATATCAAGAGTCTGGACCAACATCTTCAAAGAGGCTAGAAATTTGCTGGGGTCGCCCCGTTTCTCATGTAGATTGGCTGGACCAACAAAGAACTGGGTCAAATAAGCGAGATGACCTCTACTTGGCGATTATGAAACTACATTTGGCTCATTTTTTCTAGGGCCCAACATCTGACTCAGTGATGCTCTTCATGATCATCATCACGGCACATTAGATGTTGACACGACTCTGATCAACTTATCCAAATTCGCTCCACTCCTATCTGCATTATGAAAATTGTCCTTTTTTCGCTGTACTTCACGCCAGACCCGAGGTTCCTTCGATGTTGGTCAAAGCCATCAAAAAGCTTTTGCATCTCATTTTTTTAGAGATGCCCCCGCCTCGCGTCCGCAGAGCCAGGTGTCAAACCACAGAAGCCCCATTCCTGTAGGCTGTATTGCATCTGTTGTGCCAAATACTCAAGTTAAAGATCTAAAGACAATAAATGATCAGGAAGTCAGAAAGAGAAAGAAGCCTTCGTTCGTAAATTATTGTCAAACAATCTTCGCCCGATATTCCTCTTTCAAACTATCTACATACACGACAATCTTAGAGTTCAAGAAGAAAGTCAAAGATCTCCCCTTCATTTAAGGTTTCTGCTAGATTCGTGTTTATTTCTAGTTGAACCACCACCACACCTTTGTGTATCTGATCCAGTAATCGTGCAGTCATAGACGACTTCTCCGTTTTCAGGAAATTCTCTGACTTTGTCACCGCTTCAAAAATATCATTAATTTGCGCTTCGGTGTACATCTTGTTCATCTTTCCGGTTTGTAAAAGTACTCCTGGGGCGGCTTACCCTGGCCTCGCTTCGCTTCATAGATTCCTCAGTATATAGTTCAAGTGATACCTTCAATTCGTCCCTGGATCGGTAATTGGTGACCAGCGGGTCTAACCCCGCTTCGATTTGTCATAAGTACCTTCAGTCCTTCTGAGTGCTTGGTTCTCGACCGACGGCAAACCTCATCAATGGAAGGAACAGATACCCGGCTCCACAGTCGTATTGCAAGTCAACTTGTTACGTGTCATTTTGTCGTCAACAGCTGACATCAATATTTATCTCTTGATCTTACAGTTGGTTGCAGTTGCGGCATCGGTTTGTTACTCCTTTACATCTCCTAGCGGTTTAGCAAGGCGATGAATATCTTTCAAGCTGATCTCTCTGGATTGGATACAATTCTTAGCTCTCCTTAGTTGCCACATGCTTTTTGTTTTTATATGTTTTTGTGCTCTTTATTCTATCAAGTCACAAACTTCGCTATCTTCTTCCCGACGCTCTAACTCAACCAGACAACTATAACCGTCGAGCTCACCGATTGAATGAGCTTCAGTCATGGGCACACAAAAAACTTTTGTTCATTCAAACCCCATTTGGAATCATGTTCATGAACCTTGTCTTCGTACGTATATCTTCTTTTCGACATCTATGTCTGGCCACAAAACTCCCTGCTGACGTATGAGGGAGCGTGATATAGGCCGACTTCATACAAGCCCTTGGTTTTGGTATGAACTGTAAGTGTCTGATACCTCATCACTCCAAGTACATCAGAGCGTGGCTCATATGATAAATCAAATAGATGTGTGGATCAAACAACCGGACGTGAGCTGTGTGGCGCATGAATGTGCTACAATGTGCACATTTCAGGGTGTACTCATCCAATTGGGAGACCTTGCTTCGGCTTATTCAGTTGAGCTTTTCTTTCGTTCTCCATGGTTCCCATCGGCTTACTGAGATTCGTCCGAAATGATTTAGAACCTAATGATCGCCATCCAAACCTACGTCATATTAATATTTTCTTGGCATTTACCACTATGGTCTGCTTGGGTCTCCATACCGGCCCTTTGGGTCATCGTCGGAGCATTTTCCTTTATACCGCCAACAGTCAATGGAACATGGACAGGCTCGCGTCCATTCTACACATGGACTGGTATGTGTTTTTGAAACAAGCGAGTTGGAATATCCCATATCTGTAGATTACTGAGATCCATCATAACACTAGGCGCGTGGTGTTGGATCAATGAAGACTACGGACCTTTACGACTCTATCTGCATTACTTCTGGATCTTTGTGGCCGCCTTCGCCTCCATTGCGCTTTATGGACATATTTTTTTCAGTCTACGACTACATTTACGTTCTTCACGCGCTGGATCACATGGAATAATCCCTGTCGCTGATCCTCATCGTAAAAAACTCGAGCGTAAGGCCGAAGGGATGCTCATGTAGGTTGTTCTCTCAGGTTTGCAAAATTCGTTGAAAGATTCATTTGAGAACTGACCGAGGCATCTCATCTAGGTATCCTACCGGCTTCATTGTCATGATTCTTCCTCTCTCAGCTTACCGTCTAGCTGCTCTGGCTGGTCACGATTGGGGAATCACTGCAGCTGGAGTTGCAGGTTCAATGTATTGTCTCAGTTGAGTTTGATTACAGGTTCTCTCACCATATGTGATTCACATCGATTCTAAACCCATTTCAATATGTTTACTTCAGGTGGATTCGTCGATGTATTGCTGTTCGGGGTCAGTTTGGATAACATTTTTCATATCTCCGATTGGCATTATTCTGCATCACTAATCTGATTTTGACATGTCGCTATATCCAGCTTACTCGGAGTATCATTGCTTGGCCAGTTTTCGGCGGCACCAAATCAACGCATACCACAATGGCAATGAGGAACTCGGATGTAAGTTCAGGGGGTCCGGCCGCTGCAACTCGCTCTGCGTTCCGAGTTCAAGTTGTACAAGAGACTGTCATCAACTTAGATACACCAACACTCAAGGATCATCCTAGGGACTTTGTCTCTGGTAAAGGAAGAGTACCACGCCCAGACGGGGATGCTGGATCTTGGCCTGTTTTGCAGAGACCTGCTCAGACTCCATGGTATCATCCTGGAGGCCAATCTATTGACTTACCCGTCTTGGATCGATAAGTTGAATCAAGCTCCAGGTATTGTTCCTTACTACCCTGGGTGGGTATATTTACAAGTCAATCGATCACCACTGTTCATTTATGTGGATTGTTCTAGCAAATTTTATTACATGTTTTTTCTCATCCTAAAACGATCAACCTTTCAACGCTTTTCTTACATGATTATTGACCTCATTATTTGAAGATTAAGTGAATGTGTAATTTTAATATCAAATCAATTTTGTCTCTGTGATTTGTGGGTTCCTTTTTCTGGCGTGTACAGCGTTCTGAAAAACTTGGAAGTACTGAATGTTTTAATCGTGGATATTATGTTTGATTGAGGGTTGTAGTTGCTACATTATTTCATCAGGTCTCTTGAACTATTTACACGTTATTTTAGTGGTCAGACATGAAATCGAAATACGAAAAAGATGCTGACGAGGCAGTTGATGATTGTTTTTCCATCGTCGTTGGAGTCAACGCTTGCCTACATGAAACATCTTGTGAGCCTCGTGTAAGACAAACTTAAGTCCCTCGCTGACCTGTACTGGCCAGCTCAGGTGAATCAGGTGAATCTCGGTACAAGTGAATTACTGGGATATTGACAGGGTCAAAGTCTGAAAAGCCTTCCTCCGTCCGCCATCCTTGGCAGTTTCTTTCGAATTTATACAGTTTGTCGCAACATGGGTGCCTCATGCCCCCATGTACGTCGAGTACTCGTCGCGGCGGTGCGGTGAAATTGGAAACACGATATTTCAGGAGTTCACCATACACACATCGCCAGGGTAAAGATCGATGACCGCTACAACAGTCGAAGCGAATAGACGAGTCTATGGAGTATGGTGTCCCTGATGAGCGACCGAGGACCACCTTATGCGTTATGCGTTATGCGCTATGCGCTATGTGTGTGTACTATGCGCTATGCGCTACATGCACTATGCGTTGAACTTGTACTGTGCCAAAATCGCAACCGGTCAATTTTAGAATTGACCGGAATTTTGATTTCATCGATCGACTCCCCAGCACAACCACCATCCTGAATTTTCTTTATCTCATCAAACATGTTATATGAGTTGTATCCGACTCGGTGGAAAACGGGGCCTGACCGAGATTTTCTCGATATTTTTCATCGGTCATTGTCTTGTTTTGCTCAAATTTGTCAATCTTGTATTCTTCTCCTTCACCGATTAAAAATTCCATTTCCAAAATGCAGCATCAAAATATCGCTCAAAATTACTCTGATTGTGAATCTGAAGACAACGACAATCCTGTGTATCATCAAGAGATTGAAGAGCACACTATACACCAGTGTGTTGCAGCTGCGATTCAAAGAGATGAGATACTCTCACATCTTGATGGCATGGGGATCAAAATCTCACGTACGACTCTTACTCGCCGCCTTCAAACGTTTGGCCTCAGTACTGCCTACAATAAATTTTCACCTCAAGATAAAGCACGAGTAGAAGGACTCCTCATAGAATTCAATAAACGTGGCTATCAAAGGAAAGAAGCCATTGATCAGATCAAGGGAGATACAGGTATTATGATCAATATGTATGATGTGCGCAAGATGTCCCCAGACTTGTCACTTAGCTGGAAGAAAGATGATCTCCAAACTGGACTAGTAGTCCCAGAGCTGCTGATTGAACAAATGGAATTCATAATACATGGTTCACATCGTGATACTGGGATACAACGCATGAAGAACGCATTGGCTGTATTACATAATATTCGAGTCAACCGGAACACAGTCCAAACTTTACTTCAACAAATTGACCCAGAGGGTGTTGCTGCACGACATCAAGGGCGATTGAAGAGGCGGGTATTTCATGTTGATGGTCCAAATCATGTCTGGTCTAGTGATGGTCATGATAAACTCAAGCCTTTTGGAATTACAATTTATGGTTTCATTGATGCTTGGTCTAGAAAGGTCTTGGGATTATATGTGGGTGTTAATAACAATGATCCACGAAGAATTGGATATCACTATCTGGATATTGTTGAAAAACTTGGAGGAATTCCTCAAAAGACTTGCACAGATCATGGAACTGAGACCATCAAGATGGCTGGCTTTCAAATGTCATTAGCTCAAATTTATGGTAGTTTTACTCCTGAAGAAGCTGAGTCAGCTCATCTCTATACAACCTCTCAACGCAATCAGAAGATTGAAAGTCTTTGGTCACTTCTACGCAAAGCAATTGGTTTTGTGATTCATGATGAGATAGAGGCAGCTATACATATGGGAATCTATGATCAATGTGATCCTCTACAGAAGTAAGTTTGTCCCCTTCTTTCATGATGTTTTTTTGCTTACCAAGCATTCAATTTTTAGGATGCTCTTCCTGTATCTTTGGATCCCAATAGTACAAAAACTCTTGGATGACTACACTCAAATAAAGAATACTTCCCGGACTCGAAAAAATAAGCAATCAGTTCTTCCAACAGGTACAATTCCTAATGTAGTCTACTACTCGCCTGAAGGGTTGAATGGTATAGATGGCCTGATTCCAGTGCCCAAATCAACAATTCAAGCTCTCAGACAGGAACATTTCCCGGATTCAGATATACTATTTCAAGTCACGCCAAAAGCCTTCCAAGAACAAGTTGCCAGTGCAATTAGATGCTTAGAAATTCCACCTGATTATATCTCAATCAAAACTGTCTGGCATGTCTTTCCTGCTATTTTGGCTGTTCTCAGGCGGCTCAATGTGGATGTAAATGAAGCAAGATTGATGTATAAACATCATAGAAACTTTGTCCCTCAGGTAGAGATTGGGGATGGAGATAGATTAGCACCTATGATTGATATAGCTCATCCAAATGTGCTAAACTAATGTTTTTTTGTTGTTCTCTGTAGTTTGCATAGTTTGTTGCTTGATTTTTGAACTCCTGAACTCAACATTTTTGATCAATCAGAATGTATTTCTTGGCTCAAGCAACAAGTTTTTATATGATGATGAAATTCATAAGAGACCAAATTTACACAGAGTTTCTTATTCTTTGAATGAAGGTATATATGAGGCATATATATTAGGATGTACAAGTCGAGGTAAATTTATTTCATAAGAATAATTTTCAACTCAATTCTCACCATCATCCACATGATCAATCACACCTGATTCTTCTTCCGATTCAGAGGTGCCACTTCTAGACTCTTTGTTTTGAATGTTAATATTGTTATGTTTCAATGTAATCTGCTTGAGTGTCTTGTCATACTTGAAAGATGCTGGATTCAAATCCAGTGCAAAGCAAGCAGTCCCACAGATATGACTTGAGATAAATGCGTCGATTCCATCTTGACGTGGGTTATCCCATGACCACTTGTGCCTAAATAACCATTCTTATGTCTAAGTTTGTTATGTGAATGAATATACCAAACAAAATCAAAAACTTACCTGAGGTCTATCATCCGCATTCCAGTCAGTAATCCATCTTTGAATTTGATGTTTGAAACCAGTGCTTGACCTCGGAAGTAGTCATAGGTGAAATGCACAAATGCGCTCAAACAATCTGATGATATAGATTCCGGCTGTGAAGGGCTGAAATCTCGTGTGGTACATATCACTTCTAGTGGATGATACAATACTTCTTCAATAAGATAAGTGATATATTGTGCATGCGTCCCAGATGGCTAAAGAATCATATTAAAAACAACCTGCAAAGATACATGTATCAGCTAGAGTAAGAACCACCAACGAGAAAAGCACATACACGTAGAGTGTTTAATAACAACTTTTGATCGTTTGTCACATGTGTAGAGAAAAACATTGCAATCTTGAATCTTTCAAGTAGGCAAGAGGTCAGATGATACACTGCTAATTCTGTCAAGTAAGCTTCCTCATCCTGATGTTCTTCATTCAGGATCTCCTTTACCACCACACTTTGAGATTTTCCATCGATGAGCAAGGTTCCCTTGTAGCTATATCGCCTTGTTCCCTTACCAATCAAGTAATCTTTTTCAATATCCTGCATTGCGTACCATCGGCCAAATACGAGGTCCTTGAGAGATGGATCAAGACTTGAATCGTCTGATTGAGCAACAAGTGAAATTAAAACTCCGTTTGACCAAGGTAATGGTTTTTGCTCATCGCGAATAAAATCTTCAACTTCAGGGAGGACATCCCCAAAACTTCGAATCCATGAAGGCTCCATCAAAGATAAACGTCGTCCTACATAGTTGGGAAGTGTTAATCCTTTATCTTAATGAACTGAAATACAAAAGAAACACTTCTCACCTATCTTCAAACGCAGTTGTAGAGCGTCACTCCATGAAATCAAAGTGATTGTCTGATCTGGACCGGCAGGATGATTTTCAGGGAGAGGAATTGCGTATTCCTGAGGAAAACTGGCAGTCGAAGTATCATATGTTGCATGTGCTGCTACAGTCGACTCTATAGAGATGTTGAGAGGGTCAATACCTTGATTTGCAAGTTGATATATACGTCTGATAGCAAGTTTTACAGAGTTTGAGAGATCAGCTGTCCACAAAGATGGTGTATCAATATCTGACAAGATCATCAAAGTATTATCAGTGTCAGTAAAGGTAGATTGATGGTGAGAGAAAGTAATGTACCTTTGGCAGCCTGAAATCCCACCTGATTGATGGCTGGAACCGGTTTTGGAAAGTCAACATATTCTTCCAATTCCATGCTTTCCTCACTTTCTTCACCTTCTTTGCTTTGGTCTCCTTTTTTGCTTTCCTCGCTTTCTGAATTTGTATCGGATTGAGAACTTGTTGCCAAGATGGAAGCTTAGTAGGTTGCAGCCGCAAATGAAAGGGTGATGACTAGTGGGCCTTGTTTGCGTTTACCAGGCTGTGGAGTGTCGTAAGTTATGATCTGGTCCTTGAGGTGATCTCCAGAAAGCTTTGCGTTATTGACACCAAGGGAATAGAAGGTGCTATCATAGGGTGGGAGATCAGGATATAGAAGTCGGTCGGTCTTGCGAGATTTGGTCAAGGGTTGAAAGAACCCTACTGAATTTTTGCAAAAGTGTTCGGTCGCAGATTGAGCAATTTCAAACTCCCAGTGATGATCTGAGAAGTCGATATCATGAGTATAGTCCTGGACTCCATGCCTTCTTGCGCCACATTGAGTGTTGTATCAAAGCTTGACCACAACTCGATGCTTAACAGGGCCTGCTGGTGGGTTTTTTTTCTTAGTAGTTCGTCCTATGGCAGTTGATCAAGGAGTGTTCTTCTCATTTTTCACATCAATACGATCCATACGGACTCTCTTTGCTGTGCTTTCACCATGTCTGTAAACCTCAGCGTGCTCCAGTAGAGTTGGAGTTGATCCTGATGACTTTGGTGGATTTGGTGCAGATTGTTTAATAGGTCGAGAGACTGGGCTTGGGGTGGGGACAATCCGATTGCTGAGGATTTGAGCTGGTGTTTGAAATCGGCTTGTGTTGGTAGCTAGACGGTGAGGTAGGTTGATTGTGGCCCTGATAGTGTTGATCGAGGCAGGGCTAAGCTCTTCAGCTCGAAGGGGTGTGTTGGGTAGGGGAGGGGGCTGTTGAGTTGATTGGCCTGACTTTCGCTTGCAAGGTCCACACATATCTGTTGCATTCCGTGGGAGAGTTTTCCCACAGCCATCCTTTCAGAACTTGAGTGGAGGGACACTGCTCGGATTTTCTGCAGCCTGAAGAGCATCGTTGTATAAGCACGATCCACAAATGGGAGTTTTAATTGTATCCATGAAAGGGTACTCCTCTGTGCAGGTGGCACATGTTGGAAAATCAGTAGAATCCATTCTATCAATCAAAAGAAACATATGGAGGTCAGCCTGATAATATTATATTATAGAACAAAAACAAACAAAATGTGTGCAATAAAAAATACATACTTGAGAACAGGTGGTATTTTTTCTGATTGATTACTTCTCTGAAGAGTCAATTTCAGAAATAATTGAGTGAATCAGAATGATAATAGAATTTTTTCATCTTCAAATGGCCTCTTCAACCACTGGTTAGGTTAAAGCTCAAGCACAGAGATTGATGAAAGAGCTGCGGCGCAAGTTAGGGTGTGAGGAGGGGTGTTCAGACTCATGAGTAAAAGGTGATGGGCTGGTTTTTGCATGGAGAGCAAATGAATAGCGGGTGGGGTGTTTGTTTGTATTGGTATTGAAAAAATGCTGTATTGGATTTTGTAGGACATCAATCTAAACGCCAAATTTGCTGAGGTTCCCATTTCTAACCGAATTGGGATCCTCAATTTAACAAGGTTCTCATTTCTGACCAAATTGAGATCCTCGAAAATTTGACACTAAGAGTTGACTTGAAAGATACTGTGATGTTGATATGAGATCGATTGTTGATGATGTTGATATGAGATCGATTGTTGATGAGGTAATTGTGAGGTGAGGTGAGTATGAGGAGTTGATCGATGATTACATTTGAAAATCGGGTCAATTCTGAAATTGATCAGTCGCGGACGACATCAGTACAACTACATATGTGTGCACAATGCATAGCACATAAGCACACAGCGCATAGTACACACACATAGCGCATAGCGCATAGCGCATAACGCATAGCGCATAACGCATAACGCATAAGGTGGTCCTCGGTCGCTCATCAGGGACACCATAATGGAGGACGAGAGTTGTGACCAAGGACCATGTCTGAATCCTTATGCATTATGTGTTGTGCTTATGCCTTAAGCACTGTGCTTGCCAAGTGTGAGAAATTCTGTACAGGTGTGGCACCACCGTACGAAATCCCACCCTTTCCATTTTGAACATCGCTCCTGGATTCCACCAGCTCCGACTCCGACCTCAACAAACTACTCCAGCCAGGGATGCCAGCACCTGACCGGATTCAGGGTTGTCTCTCTGGTGGCCTTTTGATGCGTACAACCGGACTTGTAACATCATCGGGTTAGGCAGAACTTCGATTTCATCAACAGAACCTCAACCCTCAAGTTGATTGGATCCGCATCTTGGTCGATTCCAAGGATAAATGGATTGACACCATCCATTTCTGAACACAGTAAGTACAACTTTTATCGGTGTTCCTTGATCCAGCTGACCCAATTATGTTTACAACTTTTGTAGCATGTGTCTTTGAAGGCATCTTCTTCAATCGAATATTCTCTTAGCTCGAGTTTTAAGCCTCCTTCATTAGGAATGGTGTCCTTTGTTTTTAGTGTGATTTGATGATAGGCGACGACATTCCAATCCCTGGCTTCATATCAAGGGAGTCGGTTATGGTAGATTAATGTAAGGTTATGAGAGGCTTTTGCGTTTCTTATATACTTGGACTTGCCTTCAATTCATTTGAAAACTTTCCCCCACCTGGAAAAACACATTGAGGTAAGTTTTCATCTCATCCATGCTTCGAGCGTTCATTGGATCATATTCGTATAACTCATCTTTACATTTGTTTTCTTGGGCCTATCCATTCACTTCTTATCTCTTTCCCATTCTATCATCTCTATCTTTACAAACTTATCGCAAACAAACTTTCAGACATCTCAAGTTATCACCACCTTTGGGTTTTATCTCAACATGTCAACACCACTTCCGATGTGTGACACTTGTACTGAAGAATATCCTTACATGGATACCAAAACTCTTCCAACATGTGGAGCCTGCCTACATGATAACGCTCTAGATTCAGCCGAGGATCGTTCAACAGTACCACCTTTGAATTACTGCAAGGATGGGTGTGGAATGACATTACCTGCCAAATTTCATGAAGGCATGTGTCGCCCCTGCCAGCGAAAAATACAACAGTATCAAGAAAATCAGCAGACATCTCATTCAACCAAGCTGCCTGTCCTTGTTGATGAGGTTGACCCAGCACGATTATCAGCGATCCAATCAAGCTTCACCCTACCTCAGCTTCCATCACGGTCTCGTAATCCAGTCATGCCTGTTCCCCCTGTCGCTGGCTCCTCTAGACCAAACAAACGCCCAGCTCAAAACCCACCACCATCCCAAACCTCCTTGCTAGGACCGGATCGTGAAGAAGCTTATCAACACGGAGAATCAGCAGCTAAGAAGATCTGCTTGGATAGGATTCAGGAAAACAAGAAGAAATCACGTCCAACCGCAATTGGACGCATGCATAAGAAGAAGATTGAAACTCTGATTGCCCCAGCTTTGAAATCAGTTGCAGTTAAACTCAAGTATAATTTACAAAGTGGTTCAAAGTCACACAGTCTCCCACAGCATATGCACGACATCGATTTCACTGATCCAGATTGGGAGATCAAGATCATGGAAGCAGCCATCAAACACTTCCAGAAAACCTCATTGGGAATATTTCCCCCTACAAAAAGAGACGTAGATCGATTACCTGCTCTTCCCGATTTCAATTCTTCATTTTATTCTCTTGGTGTCCTTGGCACCATGATGTCAGGAGATCGTCTTCAACAAGCTATTATATCTCCCAATCGTAATCCACGTCAGCAATCGGTCCCAGGGCCTCTAGTGGTCACTCTTTTTTTTGCCGCTGCAACCTACTTGTCTTTCATGAATCCACCCAGCTCAAACTTTGGCAGTGATTCCGAAACAAAAGATTCTGAACCCAAAAATGATAGTAGTCAATCGGAGTCAACTCACAGTAAGTCGTTTTGTTAGATCGTCTTCTTGGGGTTCTACTATGGACTGATTGATTTTCTTTTCCATTCAATCAAGTTCAACCAACCAACACATCTTCAATTGTTGCTCTTCCCACACCAAAGTGGCCCACTATCATAGCAACAAGTGTATCACTGGCAGTTAAGCGGATACATCAGCTTGCTGATCGAGGCATTGACCCTCTCAAAGTTCCAAATTCCTTGGTCGTGGCTGCTGAAGATCAATATGATATTGCAAATACACCTTTCCCTTGAGAAATCGGAACTCCTCTCCCAGATGGTCATCCTGCTAGTGATGGTCAAATTATCACAACCATCTCATGGAGTGATGCTTTACAATCGCAACTTGGGATAGGTCAGTTCAGATATATTTTGTTTCATTAATCTTCAATCAAAATTAACAACTTGGTTTTGATATCATAGGACACCAGATCGCCTTATTTTCCAGTTTTTCAATTCGATCATTTGGTGGTGTCTTGCCAAGTGTTGAAGATTTGGCAAGACCATTGAGATATAGCATCCCTTGGAGCAACGCTATACTTATGGCCCTTACAAACTCAAACACTCGGTCTTCCCTGGAAGAAAACTCTCAACCTCTTGTTTTTGGTCAGTGGGGGACTTTAGCAGCAGTCGAAGATCAGTTCTTTGGTGAGGGGAAAAGGCATCGCTCTTTTAGGACAACCTTGTATATTGATGGAGGATGTCGTAAAGTCGTGGCTAAGGAGATAATCACTGAAGGATGTGGTGATCAAGCCGCCTACCTTAAGGACTCAGTGGTTTACCATCAAACTTCATGCCTGCTTGAAGATTGCAAACTGGATATGTTTGTGCAATACGATGTCACCATTGCTCAAAAGAGAATCTTGAACTCTTTACAGGTGGGTCTTGCATATATATCACAATCCTTTAAAATATTGATACTGATCATATAATTATTGTAGGTTGTTTTCAATATGGTCATGATTCAAGAAGACAATTATTATAAAGTCGAAGAGCTCCTTGATCATTCACCAGAAACAATCCCTACGATGATCGATGATACCCTGAAAGCACCGATTTCATTATTATCTGATGCTTTGAATGCGTTTGGACATTACATATATGATTACTTCAAAGGCCAAGCACTTATTTTCAATATCAAGACAGTCAATGGTCGCTTGACTGGCATGCGTATGGTTGATCGAAGGTTAGTCTTATATCACTATCCCATGATAAGATAAATTTTTGACATACATTCTAACAGGTTTCAGTGGTCCACAAGCAACAAGCTTCCAGATGAGATCCACACTTTTAAGCTGGAGCATTTATGTGGAGAATGCTGCAAGGTTCTCAAATTGAAATCAGCCGACTTTGAGTATCCCACAAGTGATGATAGGGCTGATAGTGGAATACAAGCGGCTATTGATCCAGTTCTTGAAACAATTGAACACACCAGATTGAATTAAAGAAAAGGGCAGGAAAGTCGCATTCAGGGACAACACCCCTGATAACCCTTCATTTGACGCTTTTGAAACTCACTCATGATTGATCTTTTGTCCAAAATTTATTCCCTGATGTTTGTAGACTAATATCTACTCCAAAAGACAAAAAAACAAAACTTGTTTCTACTATTCTTGTACTTCAGTCGAGATGAAGACAATACAAATAAATGAGCTTGTGATAAAGAATCTTATGAAAAAGGAAGATTGAAAAGTGCGGAATTCAAATACAATTGATGTGAGTTTTTGTGCAACAACTAACATCAATTGGGACAGATGAAATGTCATCCACAATATCTTTTCTTCTTTAAACACATCTGGAGTAGAAGTACAGATACACTGAAAATAAATCCTCCAAAACAACACCCTGAATTGAAACTTTCCTTGAAATTATGCATCCGGTTGATGCCCAACAATAATTGGTGCCAGTCGATGTTCAACCCCATCATCAATGTTGGGAACAAATTCTTCTTGATGCCTACAAACTAATCGCGCTTCATTCACATCAACATCAACCAGTTTCAAAGCCTCTAATATTGGTTGAAAAACAATCCAGACAGTTTCAAATGTGATGCTTTCGCGTGGGATACCCAAGCATCGAAGAGCACTGTCAACTTGTTGTTCAAAGCGCTTTGGAGAGATTTGAAACAGAAGTTCGGCATCAGGAAAATGTCTTTGTCTGAGAGCTTGGATGGTTTCTTTTGGTACAGGAATTAGGCCTTGTATGCCATTGTATTCCTCAGGTGACGAGTAAATGGCATTAAGAATAACTCCAGTTGGAAGACTCGAATTTTGATTTTTTCAAGTGCGTGAGGTGTTCTTGATTTCAGTGTAGTCGTCCAGGAGTTTTTGCACAATGGGGATCCAAAGATGCAAGAAAAGCATCCTAAAAGAGCAGGTTGCACATAAGTATCAAAGAAAATGAAAAGTAAGATTGACTGACTCACTTCTGCAGGGGATCACACTCATCATAAATTCCCCTCTTTACACCGTCCTCTATCTCATCATGAATATTGAAACCAATTGCTTTGCGTAGCAGAGACCAAAGACTTTCAATCTTCTGATTGCGCTGAGAGGTTGTATAGAGATGAGCTGATTCTGCTTCTTCAGGAGTAAAACCACCATAAATTTGAGCCAATGACATTTGAAACCCAGCCATCTTGATGGTCTCAGTTCCATGATCTGTGCAAGTCTTTTGAGGAATTCCTCCAAGTTTTTCAACAATATCCAGATAGTGATATCCAATTCTTCGCGGATCATTATTGTTGACACCAACATACAAACCCAAAACCTTTCAAGACCATGCATCAATGAATCCGTAAACTGTAATTCCCAAAGGTTTGAGCTTGTCATGACCATCAGTAGACCAGACATGATTTGGACCATCAACATGAAATCGTCGCCTCTTCAATTTCCCTTTACGTCGTGCCTCTACCCCTTCAGGATCAATTTGATGGAGTAAAGATCTAACGGTGTCTCTGTTGACTCGGATGTTATGTATGACCGCCAAGGCATTCTGCATGCGGCGGTAACCAGTGTCGCGATGAGAACCCGCCACTATGAATTGCATTTGTTCAATGAGATATTCTGGAACTACCAGCCCTTGTTGAATACCGTCTTTTTGCCAACTAATAGATAATTCTTCAGATATTGTGCGCAGATCATACATGTTGATTGAAATCCCCGTATCTCCCATGATCTGAGTAATGGCTTCCTTCCTTTGATACCCTAGTTTGTTGAATTTTATCAAGTGTGCTTGAACTACTGATTTATCTTGCGGTGAAAATTTACTGTAGGCAGTACTGAGACCATACGTCTTAAGACGGCGAGTCAGAGTAGTCCGGGATGTAGTGATACCCATGCCTTCAAGATGCGAGCAGATCTCTACTCTTTGCATCCCAGCAGCAACACATCGGCGAATGGCCTCTTCTTCGATCTCTTGAAGATATGTTGGATGATTGTGATTATCGTCGAATTCCTGATCGGAGCTGGTTGGATCTTCGTTTTGAGGTTGCATTGTATGTGTAGAAAGACCAAAGAAGGAGACAATTACACAACATAGGATATTTGGAGTAACAATCAAACCACTACGGCAGAAGAACAAATATCCAAGGACAAAATATTGGATGACTGGGAAAACAGATAAATGAGCACTTGGCAACACATTTTATACAAAAAATGATGTCTCAAACTGCGAAGAAAGTGGAATGAAACTCCTGATGAGATTGTGCAGCAATTTTTTGCCGGACCGAAGAAGGAGTTACTGCGTCAACCGGTTAGAGTCTGCAAGCAACAAGTCAAGCCTGCAAGAAAAATTCATTAAAAGGCGGCGAGTCAACCGATTCTTAATCTTCAAACGAGGTAGAGCAATCAATCGATTGTTTGTCTCGATCGATTGTTTGTCTAAATTTAAAAGCTATTAAACGGTCGGCTGGTCTAGTGATAGATTTGCTCGCCCACCAAGGCTTATCGGCTTATATTTTGATACCTCACTAGATAGATCGCTCATAGAGATTTTTAGGAGGTCAAACAATGCCAACTCAATCGATCAATGCTGTTGCTTCAGCAGAGATGCGACTAGTTCCAGATGGGTCTGGGAGGACAGCACATCGGGTATGTAGTGCATATGCATATGTCGCGCCGTTACATAGTGCAAAAGGCATAAGCACAACGCATAATGCATAAGGATTCAGACGTGGTCCTCGGTCACAACTCTCGTCCTCCATACGAGTCAGAGAAAGAATCAAGACGCGACTGCAGAAGGAATTCGAACTTGAGGGTTCACCATGGTAAATTTCGCGTGTTGAGGTTGACGCCACCAAACCACACTGGTTCTTATTCGAACTTTGAGCTTCCAAAAATTCGATCAAGTCACGCCTTGGAAAGTTTGTGTCTAGTTACGGACCCATGATCCGAAGATATAAAAGCTCATCACGAGAGCATCATCCCTCGTCCCACTGCTATTCCCAATACGTCATCAAGCATTAGATTTACTTTCTTGCCTTGCTTTTCGAACGCTTTGATAGCGTTCATATTTTTTGGTTATTCTTCAGCTTATCACTTGATTTAGTCGTTTTCTTTTGAGTCATGCATAACTTCAATTCCCTGTTCCTTCATGTAGCATTGGTTCTGTCTTGCTGTGGGACAATCACAGCAGCAGGATCAACAGCAGAAAATCATCTATTCGATTTCAGTTTGACAGCTGATATGAAAGGATCAGATGCCGATAACCCTTCATCAGCTTTATCAAAGTTAATCAAATTCGTTGTGAAAGGACAGAAGAACAAACGGGGAGATTACTTATCGATCAACTCTAAGGGAAAAGATGTTGAACTTGGAATCGAGATCAAAGATTCTTCAATCTTTTGCCCGGGTGATAAAACTGAGAACTGTCAGCATGGTTTCAGGTGTGTAGACATATTTCTATTTCTTTAAAAGATTGATCTGATGATGTTTTGACGATTTTTATAGACGGACGGATGTCTTACCAGCCATTGATAGTACCAAGACCCTTGATGGCGTGACTGTCTTCCACCAGGTAAGAGAAGAAACAAAACGGGGAAGTATAACAGACTGACTCAAATGTGATTTTGATGCTCCTAGAGTTTCCGTATGAACCCACAACTTCCGCTGAATCTTACACATGGTTATTTGCTAGCTAGTATCGAATTGCCAGTGAGTTTGCTACCTTTGTTCCTGTAGTCAAAACATAATAGGATTTCTGGCTCTGACTTGAATTATCTAACACTTACAAATCAAATCAAAACCTGTAGAATGGTAAGTCATCATGTCATGGGGGTTCAATCAAAGAAGCTCTTAAACTGACAGTCTTTGCTTGTACCCTAGGTGATCACGTATTCGATATCTTTGCTGGGTCTGACTTCAGCTCGAATCTAACTCAAAAGAGTCCGAGTGATCCTAAGACAATCAGAATCAGGGATTTGAATTCAAAAGTACTTTATAGTATGCCTATCAAAAACGATACACTTTACAATACCGCGATTACCGTAGATTGGGTAGGAAAGTAAGCGCACCAGGATTTCTTGAATTTTTTTTTTTGCAATCCACAATTCATATGTTGCCTCGATAACTCTACTGACATTAGGCTTGCTTTGTTCCTTGATAGTTCGCTTATGGTTTCTGCCTCGGAGGGTGATGACGAATTGAAGATAGTAGCTGGACCTTTAGAGAATTCTCCCAAAGTCGTTGATCCTGCTAATAAGCTAACTGGAGAATGGCACGTTCAACTGATTAAATTGTGAGCCACGGTCATTTCTCATCTGACAAATGATTGCAGAAGGCTTACCTGGTGATGTCTAATCGGTTCAGTCCCCTTCCTAACCCTGCCGATCCATATGACAAAAGAAGTGATGTGGTACACAAAGGTCTTCAAGAGTCAAATTTACACGAGGGAGTCTTCTTCTCAAATATGTATGTTGAAGACGGTAGACTGGGCAAAGTCAAATCTTCGGGTCCACCTCAAGGTTCAGCACCGCATAGGGTACCCGAAAGAGCTAGATCTTAATTTGGTCTTTGCAATTCTAGAGTATAGCATTTAGCGCAAACTTCATAGACTTCGATTTGTGAGACTCCTATGTGCTTCTTTTATTCTTAGTACTCTTTTTTCAACTCTGAAAGATATCTAGTTTAAAAAGATTCATGTGATACGCTTCTGGGTGACTTTCGGACTAATAAGTTTATTGCATGGCAGAGAGAAAAGTGACTATGTGCTAAGCTTTTGGAACTGTTGGGAATAAATCCATATAGGTTATTTCCGCATGGTGTCCCTCTCGAGGGATTAGGACATGATTATTGGGGTTAACTGAGCCTAACTGAACACATACTACCTTCAATATACACTTTCTGTTCGAGGTTGTGTTGAAACCATCTTTTTAGATTACTATGAGACTGGCAATTTGACAAAGCAATGCACTTTTATCGCAAGTCAATAGTTCGTCGTATTTGCTTGAAAATTGGTTTGGGAAGGTGTGGAAAATGGGTTCGAGGAAACACATGAGAATAGTCAAAGCACGGGTAGATTTTGGCGAGGGCGTCTGGAAATTAATTGCAACGAAATACTGACGAGAATATGTGAAATATAGATGTAGAAGATTGCAGCATACATTTGAAATAGATGACATATTTTTAACAAGGTACATGTATATATATCGCATAAGTATGAAGAAATATTTGCAAGAGAAGATGACATCAACCATGAAGGACATATTAACCTGATATTGTTTCATCAGTGGATAAGCTCTAATACATGCCAACAGAGGAGGCACCACCTCGAGAGAGTCCTTTGGGATCATCAACCTGAAGTATAAAAAAATTAGTTAGGACGTTATGACGATGTACAACCTGCTTGGAAAAAAATGAAAGCTGCGAACCTTCTCGAAGTTCTTGTGTAAGACATCGACGACGGCTAGACATTGAAGCCTAAGTCGTACCAATAAGTAACGGCAGTCTCGGCACTCTTCATGGTCACGCTCAGTCTGATCGAGATTTCAGTCAGTTTACATCATGTCATGCATATTGAAGAATGAAAGCTCACCAAGGCCCTTTGATAATCTTCTAATTGGGGGTATTTAAGGCATTTGGACGCCAACTTGGCTCTTTGGGTATGGTACAACTTCAAGTAATTTTCACACTGGATTGACATCAAGTCAGTTGGGATCATTGTGATGGTGTGATGTTATGTCAAGAATCCACTTACTCCTACCACAAATCTTCGGGCGTCAGCGAGAGTTCTAGCGCATTCTATTGATAAAACAATTGTCAGCAATTTGTTTGGTTCAGGATGACGTGGAAGGGCATACGTTGTTGGATCTCGACACCGGTGTTGTTTCCCTCCTCGGCCACCGGAGTCTTCAAAATCAGGTAAGTTTGCACCAAATCGAACTGCGAAGGGGAGAAACGTAAGTCAAGCTTGCAGACGGGGGGTTTCGAAGGGCGAGACTAACAAAGTCAATGATCTGTCGGGTGTGGGCTTCAAGCACTTCCCAAAGTTGAACAATGTGAGTTGGGGGTCGGACAACTACAAGGGATTCAAAAGGAAGGTCTCAGTGAATATGACATGGTGGTGAAAAGCTTGACACGCACCAGAAACTGAGAACGCAGTTTCGACTGGGCTACATTGTTGGGTGATGCTGAACCGACGCGTGTGGGTCTTTTGATCCCCATTGGACATGTTGGTGTGGCCAATGACCGAGAAGCTGTTGATTAAGGCGGGGGATTTGGGCACCATTGCATTGGTGTTGATCCAGCGGCTGTCCCATTTGGAGTGGAAAATCGAGGTCTCGTCCGTCTCGGATCGACAGATCATGTCTGTCAACTCGAGGATCTTGCGAGGTAAGGACACCTTGATAGCCAGGGAAGCACGGGCCAAGACCTAAAGGGAGAGAGTGACACGTTCATATAGCGTTTGAGTAGAAAGTTGATCAAGTAAAACTAACATCATCTGAAACAGCGCGCAGCGCCACTCTAGTCTTCTTGTCCGATGTCTCAGTCCAAAGGTCACCAGAAATTGCAGGTGGCGGAGCGCTTTTGTCGAAGGTGATTGTAGGGCTCATAGTGAAGTATACAAGTTGTTATAAGCAGGAAAAATTCAATAAGTTTGTAGATTGGTAAGTGAGAACTATATAAATGGATGAGGGTACGTATGTTAGACTAGAGAATGAGAAATGTCTGAAGATGAAGGATGGGTTAATATATCTTGGTAAATGAATGCGGTCGTGTTGATTGGGTGGTGCCAAATTTGAGATCGTCTGTGATCGTCTAGCTGGGCTGGTCGAGTTGAGATATGATTAAGAAATGTAAGCGGAAGCGCAGAGTATAACAAAGCCTTAATCTGGTCAAGGCTGCTCAAAGGGTATGTCTGGATGGCTAATCGGGCAAGAGTGCTTTGATGAAGGATTCCTCGCCGACTCTAGCGCTTGTGGCTTCCGGTCAGCTCAGACTTTCTATCCATACACGGACATGACCAGCGTCGCACGCGCCACGCACGGAGGAACGATTTGGACCGTGTGTTTGATTGGATAATCATGATTTTAGTCGTGATTGATCATTAATGAGGTACACGGCAACTCCTGATGACTCACCCTTCTTCACATGCCGATGAGTGAGTACATATGATAATATGAAAAAGTTCGATCAGATCACTTTGCTGAGCCGTTTCTTTGACCGCCCCGGCACGACTCGGCACTTTGAATTACCGTCTCGGCTGCAAATTTCGCCCCAGCTATTGTCTTGCACTCCGTCAGAAGTTCTCCTACAGCGATGGCCCTGTGTCAGAGTGATGCCAGTGAAATTCGTTCTTCACATCGAGTTGCGTATTGCGCGTCACAGTGAACCATATATGATCGCAAGAGTTATACAAATAATCAGTCTCCTGCGTAGAACACATATCAGGAGGTGTCTCATGTTGGAATGTAGTTGTCTATAAGTTTAGCCCAGGGGCGTCATTTCGAAACTTGTTGTCCGAATCAAGACCATTCCATCAAACACAAGAGTAAGAGGTCCCTGTTCTCTCACGCTGACATAACATCTTCGGCTGTCAAAGTCAAGATCGAACAACTAAACACCCTTGAGATGCCCGAGGCGCAAGAACTCGTCGGGTACATCCATCCTCTTGGTAACAATCTTGGCAACACTCTCGATGATACAGTATCATACGATCAAGAAATAGACTCACTCCCTGTTGATCTTCGACCTAGCTGTCCGAATGGTAAGAGTTTAACCCCCACAACACTATTTCACCGCACGACCCACCTAGCATTAAACATGCCTGCACTGAGCGCTTTACATCGACTGGCGACAAATGCTCATCAAACGAAAAGGAGGCTAGACGCCCGCAGAGAGCTCAAAGTCTACTCGAGCCGGTTTCAAACGATGTTCTTGGTTGATGACAGTGAATCAATGTCCAGAAATGACTTGTGGAGTGAAGTAACGACTCCACTAAGTACCTTTCTACTGCATGTGATTCGATTCAAGTCCAGTGAGTCTTCCATCCCATTATCAACAATACAAAGTGCTTTCATAGTCCATTGGTATAATCCGCTGATGCCTTGGTCGCATCTCATCCCTAAGATATCGACATATATTTTTTGAAGTGAGCAAACTTTTTCAGCTTGTGATGTGAAAACCGACTAGCGCACGTTTGCTTCCTGGCCATACGTACTCATGGTGCTTGGCCCCGTATGCGGCGCTACAGTACAGACTCTCATCTGAGTGGCATCCGGGCAGTTCACGAAGTAGAGACTTTGTTCCGGACTGTTCAGCCGACTGGAAAATCAACGTCAATCGGCCTTCGCGTCCAACATCTTCTTACCCAATAGTCAGTCCCACTGTTTCATCATCAAAAGAAACGAGAAAAAGCTAAGATCTGAAAAAGTTAGACTGACAGAATTTATCGAAAACGAAGCCTTGACCGATTAGAGTATGAGAAAGCACACGGACTCAAGCCGCTCAAGCCGCTCAACTTGGTAATCCTGACAAACGGAGTTGCAGATGACTCAGACATATTAGACTCAAGTATCTCACATGCGGCACAGCGACTGAACGATGGGCATTTCCCCTTTGATCAGGTAGGCTTACACTTCATTCAAATCGGTCGAGAAAGGTAAGTCAACCACATAGGTTTTACTCATCAGAATTACCTTAACACAAACTAAGATCAAGCGGTACCATGATGAACAGATACGCTACAACCATTTTTAACAAACTGGATCTTGACACCAAAGCTCGATGCGCTAAGACAAGAGATATAGTGGTTTGTGAAGACTTCTTTGAAACTCAATTTATGCCCTTCTCTGATAAATCACGAACAACGTATCCATTATCATCATCCAATAGAATACCGTACTTTACAGAGGCAGAATAAACGGAGACTTCATCTGGAGGTCTATTTTGAGGGGCTTGAAAAAGGTGAGACTTGCAATCTTTCTTCATGCGCGAACCCTCCTAACCTTTTATATTCGAACTTCTTCATATCTAGCCAATTGAGCGTGAATACGTCTATGCATAACTTTCTTGAATTCTTTCAGCATTTCATTTTTTGAGTTTTCCACCTGATATACCCATAAATTTATTGGCTCTGTATATGTTGCGAGATCAGAAGTATCAACATAATGATACCATAGGGATACTCTTCATGTTTTCCTCTGTCCTTTTCGCCTTTTCTCAAATTTGTTCTTGGTAAAAAACATGCTTTCATTCAATTGAAGCTCCCGGAATCATACTAAATGGCTTCTACACCACCGGAAGCATTATCACATGCATCTTTGAGAGGCCAACCCTTAGAGGCTGATTTAACAGACTCGTGTATATCTATAGCTTGAACCGCTGCAGACATATAATCGTTCATAGTACAAATTGAAGCACAACGCCGTGCTGGTACAAAAAGCGCTTGTTTTATGCTAGTACACGGTTTCGAGAGTATGACACCCCCATCACCTAACGTTACATGGAATAGATGTACTCAAAAAGTACACCACACAGTTGAATTGTTTTCAGGAGCCCCTCAAGATGTTATTAGGGATGACATTGAGTTATCCTTCAAGTTCTTGCAAATCAATCCTCTGTTTACAAGGATAAACCCCAAATTCAGTATCCCAACCTATGGGAATTAGATGAAAAAACGTGAATTGAACATACCCGGTTAATTCCACCTAGCAGTGTTTTGAGGATAAAGTGATTTGAACAATTTCCTTTGTACTGTATTGTGTCCTGAGGTATGGTATGCATCTCATCAACACAAGAAGGATCAATCATTGATTATTTTTTTGTCTTCAACTTACTACGATATCCCGTTTGATCCCATACACACTTATAAGATCATCATCCAATATCTTAAGAAATTCGGTTGCCTCACTACAAACCCCCCCAATCATATCAGATTTATGTGTCTATATTTCAGCTTTGGAAGATAAATATTTTACCTATTATCTCCAATTTGTAAGAATTGTATACCGATTTGAGTTGAAGGAGCTTTTAATTCTTCTAATCTATTTGTAACAGATGTGATAATAGATATCAAAGTATGTATATCATCTGTTGAACCATCACTGATAATAATCAAGTTGATTGGCTTTGGAATTGGGATTTTATTCAATTTGTTGTATTCAAGTAAATCCAGACTTTATTCATGTCAAGATAAACACAGATCAGATTGTCGTAAGAAGGGAAAGAACTTCGACCATGTTTGCGATCAAACCACTCACTATTCACTCAGGAGGCTTTCTATCTTGAACTCAGTAGGAGAGCTTCTTCCTACAGGCTGAACGGACTGAAAAAGGTCTTCAACTTCTTTCCACGTCCTAGTCTTCTTCAATCCTTTTGGAGAGCTTTTGAGAAATCAAATTAGACGAATGGAATCATTTCCTTTACACAGGTCATCTTAGAACTCACTTCAAGAAAAAGACATCAACTCCATCTAGAATGTGGTTTGGAAATCAAGATCAGCTTCGTCTTGAAAATTCATCCTGATTTATTGAAATACTTACTAGACCCATACCGGATAGCTTTACTAGCAAGAGCTTTTAAAACTTCACCAGTCTCTTTCCACATATCACCTTTAGACATTGAAACACTATCATCAATCAAGAAAATCGTATCAAATCTCTTTAAAATCACTAATAAGTTTTCTTCCTTTTTCTTTTTTCGATTTCTATCCTTCAATGCTGTCACTGAACTTTGATGACTAGTATCATTATCTGTTGTGGTAGAAAGTTCTACTTCGCTAAGATCTCGTGTAGGTTGTGATGAACTTTTGGAAGATGAGATCACGCTTTCATTTCTCGTCTTCTTTCCAGAAGAGCTTGAACTAACTGGTAACGAAGTTTCAATCATTTTGGGTCGCTCGGAAACTGTTTCCAAACCCGATGGAGAAAGTGGTGGTGGAAGACTTCTAGCTGGTATAGAACTGATAGGCACTGATGGATAAAGGAAATCTTCAAATTCTTCTTCCCTTGCTGTTCCTTCATTAATCTTCATCCCTATCATATCTTCATGTAAACTTTTAGAACTTAATCGTTTAGCTAAAAACCTTTGAGATCGATTAATTTGTCGTATACTATACTCTGATAATTTCTTTTTAAGCTCTCCACTATTACTTCCTAAGACTGAAAGTTTTGATCCAATGACTTGATTATAACTTTTGTTCCTGAAAGATTCTTCATTCTGACCATCACAACTAGGTAAATTGTTCGTTCGACTCCTACTAGTACTACTAGAAGTGGGTACGCTAACTAAATCTTTCTTTATTCCAGACGCTTTCGAACTTGCTGAATTTGATGTCATCTTTTTCGTGTTTTCAATTTGACTTCCTTGATCACATTTCCTTTTACAATTCTCACCACGCTTTTCAATACCTAAACTTGTTTCTGGAACAATTTCTTCATCTTTGCCTTTCAGTTTTCCTCTTTCTTTTTCTTTTGACTTGGTTTTGGAATCCTTAGTTGGGAATTTGAAATCATGATGAAGACTTGTTGGACCTGGAAGCTCTGAGTATGATAGGATATTCCTTGGATCTGGCATCTTGCGTTAATGTTGCTATATGCGAAGTCAGAGAAAGAAAGATTCAATGATACTTGAAGATATGTTAGAGAAAGAAGATTTCATGACGTACAATCTCCCTGAAAAGCAGGAGTCTCGTCCAAGTCTTTAAAATTGTCAAACACCAAATGGCATTGGCAGCAGTTGCGTAGTCTCAAGGCGCTGTAGTCTGTATTGCTTTGATATGTATCATTCAACTTGATGTCTCCACAAAGTCTCCTCACCGCAGACCTCAACTAAAAGTGCAACAAGATCACATCTTTTACTTACACCTTGATCATCATGAATAGTATTTAATACTTCCTCACACAAGAGTTTGTTCATGAAACGGCATCCAAATTCAAAATCCCTACGTAAAGAAAATAAGGATTTATACTCAACTACCTTGTTGAGATAAGAGGTACATCCACAAGCACCTTCATGAAACAAACTTTAAAACCCCAAGAATTCCAAAACCAAAAAAGAAAAGAAACCCTCACCGAAGTAGATCTAACACAACTTGAAACCTTTCCATAGTCTTTCTATCTACAAATTGGCATCCTCCCAAACGATGAAAAAGTCTCAGTGTACTCCCAACCTAAAGCCTACAATGTACAATTCTTTCATAAAGCTTGGTTATCAAACTGTCCTGGACCTAAGCCTTTAACCAAATACATCAAAAAAGGCCGAGTTATGTTTCAGCCTTAAGTTGATCTTACTCAGAAACCTTATGATCCATTAACCTATAACCAATTTATTTTTAAGAAAGTTTTGTTTACCTTGTAAAACTTCAAAAATGAATAATGAAATTGATTTCCATACAAGTTTACCTATGAAAAAACAACCTTCCACATCTCTTGAAATTCCTTTGAATTCTTTCATTCATGTTCATTCATGTTCACATAAAAAAATATGAAAAAAAACAATTTTTGATTCTTATGTATCCTACAAAACCAAAACCAAAACCAAAAAACCAAAATGCCTTTTGAAGAACAAACAAGGTTTCAATTCCAAACTAAGAAACCTCCATTTTGTTTAGACTTGCTCAACTTCCTCTTTACTAATCCATGAGCAAAGACCATCCATTTTTATCCATTTTTCTAAATTTTCCCATGTATGAATCACAATAAACCACTCAAAGAAAAAAACACACAACCCCCATGCGTTTAAAATTAAATATATCTCTTATAATATATATATCTTTCATTTAATCATTCATTCATTCAAAAGAAAAATAACTTAATATCTGAAAATCGAAAAATAAATATATAAAAGTATATGAAGATAAAGATAAAGATAAAGATAAAGATAAAGAATATAAAGATAAAAAAAATATAAACCGTAAGGAAATATAAAAATATAACAAAAACCAAAAAAAAAAATGCAAAAACCAAAAAAGAGCCCATAATCAAATCCCAACCCCAAAAAAGTAGATCCACAAAAAAATGAAACCCCAGCCAAAGACCCTAAAATCAGAAAAAAAAACTACAACAAAAGAAAAAAGAAACAGGCCAAAGAGAAAAACCAAAAAAAAACAATGATCAAAAACCTCCTTCAAAAATCACAACCAACCCTGAACCTAATCATCATTCATTCTTCCTTTCGTTTTTTCCTTTCTCTTTCTTCTAATTCTTCAACTTCTTGAAGTACCCCATCATCCATCTCATTCATCTTCCGTTTCCCATCTTCTTCATTCCTTACTCCTTCATTCACACTCACACTTATACTGTTCACATTCCCATTAGGTTGAACACCAACTCCAAGCTGACCAAAAAGTGCAGGATCTCGATTATTTTGATCTCCACTCCCATTTTTCTCAACTCCATTCCCACTTTTCTCCATTCCACTCCCATTCCCATTCCCACTCCCACTTTTCTCCACTCCACTGCCAGCCACAACACCCTTCTTCTTCCGATTCTTCTTCATAACCTCCTTATAATGTTCAATAATATAACTCTGCAAAATCTTAATAGCTTGCACAGATCCCAATCTTTCCAGGGAAACCCTTTGGTTTTCCGTAAGTTTTCCAAACACCTTTGGATTTAAGATCAATTGATTAGATTTAGATATCATCGGAGGATCTTTCAACATCATCTCACTTAATGATTCATTCTTATTCGACGGATTTTTCGTTGATTGGAATGTACTTGAAGTGGGAGGTAAGGGTTCAATAATAATCTGAAATTTCGTTGAAGATGTTGTTGAAGGTGGTGGTACATGTACAGAAGGTGCTGGTAATGGTTCACATTGATCAACCATCGGTCTTGTGTTCGGTTCAGAAACTAAAGCAGGGTTCAACCGATCCACTCGATTTGACGAAAAACTACCCAGAGTAGGTAAAGAATGATAAACCGATTGAGGTGTCGAAGGTGGTGGTCTGATCCCATTCAACACATCAATAGGTGTTGGAGGTGGTGGTCTGATCCCTTGATTGAAATTAGATATCGGTGTACTAGGTACTAAGATCGATTGACGTTCATCATGATAAGAAGAAATCGGATGAGTTGGATGGTTTCCAGATCTTCGATAAGTGGTAATCCCTCCTCTAACCAAATTAGCAATCGAAGCACTAGGTTTATGTTCCATACTACTCTGTACATTACTTGTGGTTGTGCTTGTGGTGCTTGTGCTTGTGGTTGTTAAAGGTTGAACTTTTATCGGTTTCGAAATCGGTTCAGGTTTAGGTCTTCTTAATTCAAGTCCATCAAAATTCACTCTTTCTTCTTCTTTCAATGTCCAAAAATTCCCTTTACCTCCATCTGTCGGTTGTCTTTCAATCCTTTTAAATCGTTTATCTGCATTTAAATTATGTCGTACAGCTGACTATATCAAAAAGCAAACCAAGAAAAATCCAATCAGAAAATCACATGAATGAATCGTCATTTCAAAAGGATATTTATCAATGATTCTATTTACCTGCCAATCTGTACCTTTTGGTTTAATTCCATAAAACGGATAAACTCCTGCAATCCATTCACACATCTCATTCACCAACATCTTTCCATCTTCATCAGCTTGAGCGGTTAAAGCTTGAGCAATCAATGATGCATATGTATAAGGTGGTTTTCTAGTTTCAGTTCCAATCTCCGCTCCAGGTGGTGCCACACAGATAATCTTTCTACGTTCTTTTAAAATGATTGGATGTTCATCTTTGGCTTTAGGTTTACTTTTCCCTTTACCTCCTCTTCCTACAGTTGATTCTTTTTGAGGTGAAAGGGGCTCATTAGGATTGACTGGGATTGAAACTTGTAGATCATGAACCACACTCTTGGATCCTGCCTTCTTCCCACCACCTTTACCACCACCACCTTTGCCACCTCCACCTTTGCCACCTCCACCTTTCCCTCCGCCACCTTTGCCACCACCACCTTTCCCACCACCCCCTTTGCCTCCTCCCATTTTACCACCCCCACTCCCAAAGGCAAGCCAAGCCTGTTTAGGTACCTTTGCAGACGTTTTCTTTGGCATCTTAGAAGGAACCAAATGATCATCTGCACAAGTTTCCGAGCTGAGCATCACTTCTTCATCCGAATCTGAATCATCATCTTCATACTGATCATTTGTATATTGAGGATGAATAGGAATATGACGTGGTGGTGAAGGAGGACGAGGTTCATCATCTGATCCATCTTCACTCATACTCTCTTGCATATGATGGGATTGGAATTCATCTAATTCTGAATCTGAATCGTCTGCTGAACTTAATGAGCTTTCTACTTCGATGTCTTGTGCTTCGGTCTTCTTGGGTTGTAGTGAAAGAGGTTGTAGTTTAGGTCGCATAGGAAGTTGAAGAGGTGGTGGTGAGGTGGGTCTGCTGGGAAGTGCGAGAGGAGGAGCAACAGGTCGAGTTCTTGATTTGGGTGATTGGTTTGGCGGTTTAGGAGGATGTGAAGGAAGTCGATGATTAGGAAGTTGGAGTGGATGCGATCGAGGAATGGATAATGATTCATGCAGAGAAGTTGAGGGCTCTGGTGTGGGTTGCACAGGTTCAGATGAAGGTGGAGACAAATCGAATAATTCAGTGGGTGGATGAGTATGTTCAATCTCATGATCTGAAGCTGAATCAGATGGTAAGATATCAAGAGGTTTAGACGAGGCTAGAGGCACATCTTCGGTCCCACGCTCAGAGCTTGTGTCAGATCGAGATGGGTGTTGTTCAAGTTGAGGTGGCTGTGAGACCGGAGGAGGAGGTGAAGCCGCTTGAGGTAAGATGAAGTAAAAGATTCGTTCTGCAATTTGAATTTTAGTCCTATTTGATAGATCAAAAGATAAGTGATGTGATAACCAAGAAAGAAGGGAAAGAAGAAGGTTTAAACCTACCTAGGACCGAGTGCAAGGACCTCACCCTTTGCTCTCCAACGTCCATCCACCACACAACCATTCCGACCACCCACCGAAAGAGTCCAACGACCATGAGCCCAATCAAAATAAATTCTAGCATGACGACGAGAGACAGCTCTGATTGGACCCAAATCGACATCGATCGGTTCATCTTCATCTTGATCATCTTGGGTAAGATTTGATGAATGAGAAGGAGGTCGTCTACCAATGGTAAGCGTAAGTTTTCGAATAAAGAAATCGTGTTGAGGGAATTCAAGTTTAGCATAAGCTTGTACTCTTCCATCATCTGATTCTGATTCAGTTGTGATTTGAAGAGTTGATTGGGTTTGATGAGATAAATCGAGTTTAGGAAGTTGAGTGGTTGAAACATAAGCGAGTGCATCCAAACGAGGACTGATAAGATTTGATGATGAAGATGATTGAATTTGATTAGCTGAGATAACATTAAGTCTTGAATCAGATTGAAAGGATGGATCGATTTGATGATTTGATTGTAAAGTAGTAGTTGATGATTGATTGAGAATAGGAGAAGGAATGAGTTTAGTATTTGAGTTAGATTGAAGTTGCATGAGAAGTAAGAATTCAAAAACCGGTCAACAGGAATTAACTTGAATTACTAAACTCTTGATGACTGATGATGATGATTGATGATGAGTAAGCTATGAATCTGATGATTGATGGTTGAATGCTTCTTGTTAAAAGTCGATTTTGGCTTACAGAGTGGTATTTCTTCAAGTCTTTTAAAATTCTTAATTCTATTTCTACCCTCGGCCCCGGTTTTCTCCACTTCATCGGATTCGGATGTTTGGTCTCAATTCAAACAATTAAAACAAGCCTTATTCTGTTTCTAATTCTAATTCCTCTTGCCCTTCACCACTTCATCACACACACACTCATTTGTTAATCAAAGTACAAAAATTAACCATCCATAAACTCACCAAAGCTTATTCTAACGATCGTGATCTCTAGTCACTTGAATCTCAGTACCGAGCATATTTGCTACAGAAAATCATCCATATTTGAGTAACACTTTATGAGAAGAGAGTGTGATTCGGAACTTCAGATTGACTCTTTACACGTTCTTGCTGTATAAACTTACAATTGATGGCTTTGTGATCAAAAGAAAAGGAACTCAGAACTGTGAGGCTTGCTTTAGCTTCACAAAAGGCTTGCTCTACATCCATATCTGCATACATCCAGAAATCAGGGTGGTATGTACAACATAAATAACTCAATTTTGTATTCCACACAAATTATAAAAGATGGTTTGCAAATTTATACTGGATTCACTCCTAGGGCTTAACCGACTGTTTTCCTTTACAAAGTTTCAATTCTGAGTTCTTGGCCTGCTCCTCTCTACTCAGATCTCAACTTTCACTACACCTTACCCATCTTGATCTCAATCAACAATTTATGACTATTGTATTTTACTTCAACCAATTCATGGTTGTTGACTGGTTTTGTGAATCTCAATATTTAGGTCTTTCTTTTGAATGTTGTTGTGGAAGAGATGGACAAAAGTTTAAAGTTGTATTAACAAAAGATTAGATATGTTGTAATGAACTAATAAGAAGACTTTAGAATCAAAACAAGTCAAACATCATAGCATAAGACACAAATAATACAGATAAAAGGGTTATAAGAGAATTTTTGTTGAAATTCAAGAGGCTGGAAGCTGGTTACTAATTTTATAAAGTTGTATGATGATTGTATAAAGAATTATGTGCTCTTTGATGTGATTATGTTTCATATTTTTTCTTCATCTTTTACAATCTGTAGTTTTATTCATTGCCATTAGTTTACTAAATTAGTACCAGGTCAGTTAAATCCACACCTTTGAAATAATGAGATATTTAGTTAGTATTGTAGCTTTGGGAATAATACTTATATTACAGTACTTCTATAGTTTTGTTCTCTTAAATTGACAGGAATAATACTCAAGCCTAAGGTGTTGAGGCTGGTAATTAAAATCAGACACTCAGTTCTCTTCTACCAGTTGCTTTCAGGGTTGAGTATTGTTGAGTAATACTTTGACATGTGTCCTCTGAGTGATTCAAAACAAATACAAGTAATCTTACAATAAGATATTTATTGTGGGCTCTAGAAGAGAAGTCTTCAGACATTTCTACTATTTATTTATTAGTAGCTATACTTTTCACACTCTATATCACACCTGTTGGATAATTAGCTCTACAACAGTGGATGTAGAAATATGGGAGTTAGCAAGAGCACAGGTACTTGAGGTAGTGTAAAGGCACATCTCCATTTTTTGGAACATACTTGAATTTGGGTCAATTGGTTGCACTTGGAGGTGTTGTCTTATTGACACCAGGCTGTTTTGTCATCTGGGATGAACAAATTTAATCTTAATCAAATAAATTAGACATGAGTTTTTCTTTCAATATCATCAGTTCACAACTCAAACATCATGTGGGGCATCTTGGTGATCAAGACTGGGATTTCAGGGTGATAAAATGTCATCCCTTCACGGTTACCATCCTATCATTGCTGTAGGCACTGAATAGTGCATTATAAACCATTGTTTGATCAGGAAGAGCATTGATTTTTGAGAACAACAGTACCTTGACATCAATTATCTACGTTTGCTTCTGGGTTATCAGCATGCATTGATTGGGCAAATTTTGGCTCCTGTAACAGAAAGTAAAGAGAGAGAAGATCAGAGACATGCAATCAAGAAGGTTTAGATGTTGCTCACATTGATCTGCTTTTTATTTTTCTTGGGTGACTTTGAATGTTGGATTTTTGCCCAAGATCTTATTTCTTTATTTCCTCCGCTCATTCCTAGCCATTCCTTGTCCAAACTCCTTGTAAACTTCACTATCATTGATACTTTTGGGGCAAGTCTTCCCAAACTCATAACTGCCAAGAATTTAACCATCATAAATTCATCTTCCCCTCTCTTTCAGCCTCTTCAAAAAGATCTTGACAGCTTGGATAGTTCTTCTTGGCATTGATACAATCAATTTCAGAAAGCTTGGAAACATTTGCCCGCCAAATTTGAGTAAATTGGCGCGGAATTCTTTCCAAGCTTTGTGCAATTGACTGTACCAATGGAAACCTTCAGCTCACTGATTTCAACATTCTTGAGCTCAAAATTGAATCATCAAGTCTAAAGTGTGAGAAACCAATTGAGTCAGCAGATCAATCTTGTGTCAAAGTTGACAGATTCTTTTTGTAAAGCAGGCATAGTGAATGTGGTTGGAGTTGTGTTGGTGGAAACTTGGGAATGAACTATTGTTGTGAGGCTGTGGAGATGTGCTGCATTGACAAGGAGGGAGAGATGTTGCAGGTAGATTGTGAGCTTGTTGCAGTGATTGCAATTTGAGAATGTATTCTTGATCTTGACTGGTGCAGGGATCTGAACATCATTCCTCAGGGCAATTACCCAAATTTGGAGGTTTATCTGGGAAAAACACACCTATATGGAAAAGCTGTTTGTTTCCTTCATGACCATATTTTCTTCTAATACATGTACTCCTTCTTTTGTAGATCCATCAATTTGAGTGTGTGTGTATCAAAGGATGAAGATTTTAAAAGAGTTGGAACTCTTCAAGCCTCTAGTCACTAGTGTGTGTGTCTATTTGAAGCAAATAGAAAAATACGCGGGAAGAAATGGGTGAGACAGTACAAAGGGTTTATGGAGATATCTTTGATTGAAAAGTGTCATCAACGTGCACCTCAAACGTGGCACTGGTATTCTTTCCGATCTCCGGAAATTCCTCCACATCCTTTTCTCACGTCCATAGCTTTGCATCATGATCATCTCTCTACTGAGCTTATACATACATGTCAATGTGGATTTTTCGCTATAGAATTAGATTTGTTATAGTCACCGGTTTAAGTGAAAGGCTGTGAAAAGGCTTTGAAGCTTGAGGTTATGGTACTTATGCTCTCCATACTGATACAGCTGAGGATGAAAAAAGTATCGCCTGGTGTTATTCTTTGTTTTTAGTCAAACAAATATCCGCATCTTTGAATGTTGGATTAATCGGACGGAACAGCTATCAACTAGCAGCTCAGCTCACTTTTGCGGCTACGTATGGCCGCCAAAGGAGTTTCGAATCAAGTTATGGAGCCATGAATCTCCAAGTATGTAAACACCTTCAAATGCCCCTTGACTAACAGGGGCTACTTGTAGTCAGTCGATAAGAGATATATGTGTAAAACTCCGCAAATTGCTCAGCTACATGACTGATCGGTAGATCTCTTGCTATATTTGCTCGAATAAAGCTGATGAATTGTTGTAAACACTCGACAAGCATCGATCAGTCGATGATGGAGATTGAGCATTACCGCACAGAAACCATTCGGGATAGCAGTCTTTTTCAGAGATGCTGAGGTTGAGTGTTTGAAGTCATAGAACTTGAGATCACCTATAGATGCGTAGATCCCTGATCACCCTATCTTGGCGTCAGGGAAGAGGGATATCATTGGCGCTCGTCGGATTCTTACGCTTGTCGATCATTCTCTTCATCACTGACACCGAGCTGTCCTCATTCAAACTACAGTCAAACCGGAAAAGCTTGACCGATTTTGCCCGCAAAACTCGAGCAAATTGGCGAGGAATTGGTGGCAAGCTTTTCCGGTTTGACTGTAACTTGTAATGCTGAAGAAACCTCACGGTGGGAGTATGAGGCAGTGTTGTTGACACGCAAAGCAACGAATCAGCTGCATACTTTTTGCTGTACACGAGAAACTAAGGCCCAAGTTGCAAAAGTCCTTGATGACCGAACTCTTAGTTTTCGCAGCAATCTTTCTGCCTGAGCCGATTGGGTATGTAAGCTTGAATAGGTATTGCTGGTATTTATTGTGAAAGATGTTTCCTTTGTTAAAAAAAAAGAGAGCTTGTGACCAAGATTCCCCGACTTAACCCTACATGCAACGTCAGGAAGATTGCTGAGGAAGCGCGGCTGAGCGATGCCCCGTAACAAGACGTCATGTAACACGGACCACCTTGATCCGCAATGCTGATGCTGATGCTGATGCTGAGTGATTTCCTCCTCACCTCACCGATCAACCTTTCCCTTGTCCCTAGGCTTCAACCCCTATATATCAACCTGATTCTCAACCGTTTCAATCTACTACTTTCCAATCACACACTCGTATCATCCTATACTCACTCATCTTGACAAATCTTCAACTATCAACATCTTTAGTCTCATTCATCCTCCCCGTCATTCCCTGTCGTTCTCCTTGATCGAAGTTAACCCCTTTCTTACTTCTTTCATAACGAGTCGGTCTGGTGATATTTCTCATTCTTGTCTGTCAACCATCAACCATCTCTTGTCTTAAAAATGCCCCATCCAAGTGCAGCTAATGCAGAAGAAGAGGGCTATGTTCTAGTACCCGTGATGTACTACACAGTTCATTTGTTGACCGATGACGACGGTAAACCTTTGCTATGGGATCCGAAACATGCTGCTGAGTACACTGCTAGAGGAACACAACTAGAGGCAGCTTACCGTGCAGCCGCCAACCGATCATCGAGTAAGGCTACGGAGTATTATCATAGCGGAACACGATTCCGATTCGAGGGAGCCCAACGTGTGCCTGCCCATCAATCATCGAGTAGGGCTGCTGAACACAATATTAGCGCAATGCGACTCGACGAAGTCCAACGTGCAGCCAGCAATCGATCATCGAATCAGTCTGCTGAGCAAGGTGTTAGCGCCATGCAACTCGACAACCAACCTCCAACCGCCACTCGATCATTGAGTAAGTAAACTGATTCTTTCTGATATGCGAAACAAATTTTGACACATCCTTTCTATCCATAGTTTCAAATGATCGACAACACCAAATCGATCAACCACTACGTGAGTGATATGATCTCTTCGATCGATGTCTTTCAAGCTCAACTCTCTGACTTTCTTTCTCTTTGTGGGGTTCGTTCACAGCTCTGTCATATACCTTCGAACAAATCTCTTCCTGTGCTTCACAACCCACACCACAACATCTGAAGATACCCTCTCCATCAGATAGCACAAGAGTCATCAAAGAAGAAGAAATCCTTGTTTACTGTCCGCAATGTCATAAAGGCTTTACTAAAGTTTATAATCTCAAACGACATCTTACTACCGTACATAGATCTAAGAAAGAACTTGGAGAGGCCGGTAAACTGTGTAAGTACTCTTTAAGTCTCAATTTCGATGGATATCGCTTTTGACTGACTGGCTCTTGCTCCGATCAGCAGATTTGTGCAAGTTGAACGGATGTACAAAGGCTTATAAGAACCCATCGGATGCAGCACGTCATCGTAAAGTGTGCACAACAAGCAAAGAAGATGCTGAGTATATCCAAACGTCAGTATTTATCAAAGTGTTATATTTCAATTATATCTGTTCTAGTCGTGTTCTTCTTGCTTACCTTGACTTTTCGGGACCTGTTTCGTAGCTATCTGGCATCAGCGGGTTCTGCTTCAGTGGGTCCGCCCTCAATGGGTTCGCCATCAGCGAGTTCGTCTTCAGACTACTCATCAGATATACAGTTTTCTTATACAAGATCCTGAACTGTATGCGGAATCATCAAAATCAGTCCAATATATTAATTATTATCATCATCATCATCAAGAGAAGGCAACTACCCACTCCCAGTGATTATTGTTTATACGATCACCTTTCAAAAAGACATGTAGCCTTTCTATGCCTCTGTAGCTGCCTTGTGTTTACCATTTCTTTCTGCTTACGGTTTGCTCTGCTTAGCTTCTACTGTGATATCATCTCCCCTCTTCTGAACTTAGCTTGTTGAGTTTCTTTAACTCGATTGATATCTGAAGTATTCTACTTTATTAGTTTTAATGTCTTCTAGATTTGTACTCAAAAAAAGGACAATTTCAAGTTCTGTGTAAGAAATCTTATGGTTTAATATCTTGTGTTTTTTTTGGCCGAGTTTATTTGATCACTTGAAGTTGTACAAGTAATATTGAATGTGTTTTGAATTCCGCAATGTATTGCCTTCCCCTGACATTCTGATGGGAGAAGAATGGCTAAAACCACAATATAGAGGAAAATTAAACAATCCAACTCTTCCATGCAAGCAGTCTCCTGCTGAAATGGCTTTAGATCTTGTACCAGGTGATGTTAGCCCTGGTCCTGGATGGGATGAACATATACACATTCACTTTAGTATCACCCACTCGGTCTAACACGCAACACGGTAAAGTGTGTACGCAAATGGCCTCAACAAATTTTGGCTCAGGGTTTTTCCTCAGCTTTCTGAGAAGCCAACCTTTAAGCTGAAAAGAAACAAGACATCATTTTTTTTGGCAAATCTCACTTGGTCCAACATTCATGTGATCAAACAATTTTTTTCTGCATCATATAGAATTATATACCAATAAAATGAATGAACTTTTCTCATCATTACAAACAAAAACTTGAATCTTTTAATTATAAACGAAAATAAAGAAAAAACTACAAATAGATATCTATCAACCTATATTAAATCTCATCACCTGAATCATCTTTCAGAAGAGGTCGTCTAGATGAAGATCCCTCATCTGAATTTACCTTTTTATCTGATAGATTTGATCCTTTTTTCCAAGATTTCCAACTTGAAAGTTTTCCAAGGCCAAGGTCAGTTTTACTACGTGAAAGAAAGGTTGAAGTTAAGCCGATTTTATCTTCATTTGATACAACAATCGGAGCTTTGGTATTTATGTGAAGCAAGTTAAACTTCTGAATCTTAGGCATAGGTAAAGGTAAAGGTTTAATTTTGTATGGTCCTTCTCCTCTTGAAATCTTCGCTACTGCTTCATTCATCCATTCTTCTTCAATAGAACCTTGCCAATCGACTAATTTTTCCGCTGGTATGTCTAGTGTACTTAGCTTGGCGCGACCCGCTCCATCTACTTTGAGGTATTTTGTAAACTCAGTAAGCATCTCAAAGTTCATACCATAGTAAAGCCAACTTTTCGGTTCATTGTTTTTCCATTTCTTTAAAAGTTGTCCATCTTTACTTGTTGCAAACTTCAATCTCCTTCCTGCTTGTTTTATATAATCGTTGGGTCCTCTTGACTCTTCACCTTCAATAGGGCTTCTACCTAACAAATTCTCCAATTCGTCCAAGTGTTTTGGTGATAATGCTGCATATGAGGAAAGCATTTCGTTTCGATCGACATCTTTTGATGTACTGAAGGTAGGAAAGACTTCATGTAATTTTAAAAAAGATCCAAATCGAAACATATTCAAAACTTCATGACCGTTCTCTGGAGACGCGAAAAATCTCCTAAGAAGAACTTCTTGATGCTCTTTCCATCTATTAACTAGCATTGTATGAACTTCAGCACGTTTGATGGCCTTTGATTTGATGTCAAACATTTCGGGTCCCAATTGTCTTGAAATTTTGAAAATCGCATTATCAATCAATTTAGGCTTTACACTTTTTACAATCTTCATTGTTTCTTGAAGCTTGGCCACTTGATCGAAACTTGGATGATCATATTTATCAAACGTTTTCAACGAATGAAGACCAAAAGCCTTATAACAATCATGTTCGATTAATTTTTCAATATGCTGTATTTGCGTTTGAGTGACGTAATTGCCAGCATGATAAATTCCGGCTTCCCAGCCCTGTACCGAGCTTTTAACCCTCCAATGTTCGTTTTTGGCTTGTTGAATTGTAATCCAGGCAAGTAAGTGTTCCTCTCCTACGAATCCTACACCACTAACAATCTTGGCAGCTTCATCTATTTCTCTTTCTCGCTTTTGAAGCTCATTTCCAAGGTCAAAGTGTTTGATATCCTCTTCAACTTTAGAAAGAGCGGCGCCGAAAGCAGAAGATTGCATGTCCTCCCAAGTTGAAGGTGATACGTTATGGAGTTCTTGAGAAAAGCCTCGTACTCGATTCGCATATTCATCATTCATCAGAGGTAGAGCCGCCCAGGAAACTGGGCGCTTATATGATAACCACTGAGGCAGCATAGCTTCCAATTTGTTCGTGTTTGATTTGATCTTCTCAATCACATCTTGATTGAATCCTCGAGGGAGACTCCTAAGTTCGGAAAACCTAGCTTGCGCGCTGAGTGCATCAATAATTTCGTGACTAGAAGCCTCATTTCCTTTCTCTACAGCTAGATTCAGAGCTTCCTGTACGTGTTCTATTTCAAGGACCTCTTTCTTGGATTTGAGAAGAGACGCGACGTTTTGGCGACGAAGTCTTCCTTGAAGGTGCTGGATGGCAGCGAGAGAGCTGGGTCCAAAGTTTTTTTCTAGGTAGTTGTGTATCAAAAGAGCTTCTCCTGGTTTATAATTAGAGATTTTTTGGTAGGCTTCGGATGAGATGGATTCAGATTTGGTACCCAGAGCTTGATGTTGAAAGAAAGCTGAGATCCATGAATGAAATTCACCATACCCTTTCTTCAAAAGTTCATATCTATGTCCAGCTTCGTCTGGAGTAAGATACTTGGTGATAAGGCTTTGTGATTTTGAAAATTGAACTTTATCAAACTTTTGAAGAGATGAGAGTACACGCCAAGATTTATAACTTCTTTCTAAACTCCAAGTATTCTTGTCACCCATCACATCAAATATTTCGGCCAGAGCTCGAGTATAAACTCCTTGATAACTTCCGTCAATACCAAAAGTTGACATCAAACCCTTTTGGTACCAATCTGCGGGATCTAGATTCGGATCATATTTAGAGGCTTCTGGGTGATCAGTTACGAGCTCGCCGATAGTCGGTTCGGCTTTGATATGAGTAATCGATGATTCAGATGACCCGGCAGTAGAAGTCGACGGCGCATGTTCATATATATCACGGCCTCCTGGCTTCATGTCGGGCACTATGTAAGAATCATTCGTCAGTGCCTTGGACATTCGCCAATGAAAATGTATACACAAAAAATAGAGACAGTACCATCAGAGGACGGGCCATCGAATATTTTCGGCCCCATCATCGACCTGGTATCGGCCGATGAACCCGGTAAACTCATAGATCGTTCAATCTCATCCACGTCCTTCGAACCACCAGCATCATCTCTAACGAAATCAGATGCCTTCCGGAATGACTCGACAGGAATGCTTCGCTTGACCCATTTGTTAGCATCAAGTTGTTGAGCTTGCCAGAGTGGAGGGTGAAAGACCAAAAGGAGAGGAATTATACTGGAGGAAAATAATAAATGCATCCTTGATATGATCCTCGCGGATTAAATCAAATGCTCTATCAGAGCAGCCGGTATGAAGAAGAGCACACGAAGTATTTTTGTGAACAGAGCGAAAAGGATGAAGGAAACTGGTTGTTCCAAGTCGCCTGAGTTTTAGCTTACCACCATTTGTCAATCCTTCAGTTAATCCTTCTGTGTGATGCGTTTTAAGATCATACAGCTTAGTGGAGTGAAACCAAAACTGAATGTCTGAGCTATTCCAAAGGTCACATTTTTTCTCTTACCACTCGAAGATCACGATTATGCCGAATGATGAAGCAGAACATCAAGCGCAACAAGACAATTTAGTTCCAAAATAAAGAATCGATTGAATTACTCAAGTTAACCCCTGGTATTGCGCACGTCGTTAAGATTATTATCAGCTCACCGGATCAAACATACCTTTTCCAGGCCCAATCCTTTTCTCTCGGGGTCATAGAACGCAGTGGGTGCATAGTGCAAGACGGTCCACGTTTTAAATGGCTAAATGAATGTTCAAAGACTAATCGACATCGCCTTCTGATACATACTTGGATTAGGCAGTTAGGATGGGTGCAATTGATCTCCAACAGGTTTGACGATGATCTCTAGGATGTCGTCTCAGAGGTGGACCGATTGACACGAGTAAGTCTTGACTCTTCATGACTCAGCAAGCGTGGGGGTTTGTTTATATGTAATCACCCGAGTCTGATCCATCCCACCAGACAGAACGCAGGAGCCCAGCTGGCCTCAAACCACTTCTTTGCTCACTGCAGCTTGTTGATGAACCTCTCCACGATGGGCATCCGGACGTTCTTTAGACTGGAGGAACATCTTAAGTTTCAAACCCAGGACCGATACCAATTTTTAAAGTGATTAAGTATCTCCTCAAAGGACCTTCAACTTCAACTCCTCAAAAAACCACTTTCCTCATCTCTCTCCTTCCTATCTAACACCGTACATTCTTATATAATACTCTTTGGAAATCTCTTTCAATCAACTATCTTGTATAATGAAAATTTCAATTGAAATTCATCATTATCATCATTATCATCATGATCATCCAGAGAGAAAAAAACACTTTGCTTTATAAAGAAAGAAAATGAGGAAAAAAAGAGAGAAAAGTAAAAAAAAGGAATTGCTGTGGGAAATATTATGAAAAAAAAAGATGCATACAAAAAAATAAATAAAAAAATTTCATAAAAAAACCATTCATTACAAAAAAATAAATAAAAACAAAACAAAAAAGGTAGAAAAGAATGCGAGATTTTTTTTTCTTTAAAGATTATGTAAAAGAAAAAAAGAACCAAAAAAGAAAAAAGAGAAAGAAAAGAATGTTTGCTCAAGTGATTTAATTTTTTTGTTGAAAAAAAAAAGAAAACCAAAACAAATTAAATACAAAACCAAAACGAAACCGAAAACCCACACGCGAACACACTTATATACCCTCCATTTAAAATTTTCTTATATTGATTATTTTTTTGAAAAAACTCTATGTAAACATCCATGACTGAAAAATCCTATCCACTAAAAAATCCTCATCAACTAAACCTTCGTAGTAAACCTTCTCTACATGAAAAAACCTCTTCAAAGACGTTCAAACCCAAACCCAATAAACCATCCTCCCTCCCGTCCTTCTTCCAAACCGCTCCAAAAAACCCAAACCCAAAAGTGAAGAACAATTCATCATATATCCACTTTTTATCCACAAACCAAAAAAAGTCCATCACAAAAACCCCATTCCATTCCGATGAATTAATTCATTCACCCCCAATCCCAACCCCAACGGTTCCAGCTCTTCTTCTACTAACCAAGAACCCAGCATTCATCCTACTTCTTTCATTCTTTTCTCCATTCTGTTGATACAAATGATTTGAATGAAGATGATTTCCAATCAGATTCGAATTATGACTTGAAATCGTATTCTCATTTCCAATAATCTTGGAATACCTTCTTTGAGATTTAGCCCTTAATTCTTTACAAATCTTTATAAACTTAACTTTACTTTCTAAATGAGTTCCATTTCCATTCCCATTTCCGCTCCCATTATTTCCAGTTCCAGTTCCAAGTCCAGTTCCAAGTGCATAATGTTTATTCGAATTTGAATTACTAGAATGTTGATCGTTTTCAATACATTTACCCACCAAAGTAGCCAACAAAGAACAATCCTTAACCGGATCCAATAAATGAGGTAAGATAGGAATCCCATCTCTAACTTGTTGAGGTAATGAACTTCTCAAAGCGATCGGTAAAGCATAACCTTCGAATTCTTGATTAGTCCATTCAATCTTCCCACCGCCACCTCCTCCTGTACCACACACTAAAGCAGAACTTCCTAATCCTTCATCCGATTCGTTTGTCGAAATAAACTTAATATAATCTCGAAACGATTCAAGATGAGTCTTGATGAACGGATTCATGATCGCCATAAAAGGTTCTTTGATCCCAAACAACGTTAAGTTTCCTAAACCTTGTAAAGTTTTGGCTAAGAGTGTTAAAGTTCTTTGGGATTTAGGTTCAGGTTGAACTTGAATTAAATTAAACAATCTTGGATTCAAGATCGAAGGAACAAAAAACCTCAAAAAGATAAATGCCGAAACTGATGTTAATCTCATCTCTGGATCTTCATAACTTATGGTCACAAGTGATTGGATTCTTCCAAACAAACTTTTCAATTTTCCAGGACACTGTGATCGATTCGAATAAATCGATTCCCATATCTCTTTTGCCAACGATTCTAATGCTTTTCCATTCTCATTCACATTCTTGGGGTTCTTCATCTTACCCGGATCAATCTCTAGTTCAAGTTTCGAATGACAAATCCTTCGGATGATCGGTCCAATCGAAGATTCCAAAAACGCTCCTCCAATCATCCTCATATATCCTTCTAACATCTTCGTTAATAATGTATTCCCTCTAAATAGGATCGATGCACTTGATTCATCTCCATCTACTTCGATCGCTGCCATTTGGGCTAATCTTAATAATAATCTTCCAGATGATTGATATAATTTCATTAATAATTCGGATAATCTATCTAATTCTCCTATGGCTAAATGAGCTAAAGCATAAGGTAAATCGATATCTTCATCATCATTCAACATCTACAAACCACCCTCAAAATCAATCAGTTACTTCATCCTCTTAACAAAACTAGAAGAAAGATCCCCCAAAAAACACTCACATCCATCATTCTCTTATACTCTCCTTCAGCCAAAACGATTTGTTCAAAGACGATAATCGAAATATTCAATTCACCTAAAACTCCAGATCTACCATTGATAGGTTTAACAGGTACCCAAATCTCATGTATCACATCTTTCTTTAAAGTTTTAAAATCAAGTTCACCACTACCAATCAACCACATTGGAGCTTTAGTTGATTTTTTAATTTGATAAACATTTAAGGTCATCGGAGTTTTAAATGAACCAAGATCTCTACCCCATCAAACGTCAAGAAAACCAAAACACCACCCCATCAAAATCAATTTCAAAACGTTTTCGAAACAATTCACTTACGAAAGTTTATAATCTTCTCTCCAAAAAGGTGATGAATTTCTCTTAATCGTACTTCTACCCACCACTTCTTTATCCCAAATCAATTCCACAAAATAAAAATATTCACCACCATCCGGATCCATAGAATGAGCATTCGATTTAGTTTTCATAGGACCTGGTATAAGAGCAGGCGTACTACCTGCCGAAAAGGGTTGTTCTTTAAAACTATCATTCGATGAATTTTGTTCCATTGAGATTTCACCTGTGTTTTCCTTTTCAATAATCGATCTAACAATCGATTTAGTTTTATTTTCTTCATTAGTTTGATTCGAGTTATTAGGTAATGGTAAGGGTGGTGCTACTGCTGGTGGTAATGGTGATGGAATCTTAGGTTGATGATTAAATAAAATTCGATGTTCTCCTAATCTTCTTCCTTCTAATAATTGAATTTCAACTCCTCTCCAAATCCTAACTCTTTCAGGTACGATCCCACCAAGTCCTAAACTTCCACTACCACTACCACTACCTAAACTAAAACTCTTTTCATCTGTCATACTATTGACTCTAGATCTAGGTGAATTAGATTTATGTTCGAGACTTCCGTTAGGGTGGGTAAGAGTGGTAGGAGATGGGGGTGGTCTTGGATAAAGGTGTCTAAAATCATCAGGTCTACTAAAACATTTACAGATCACTAGCCATGCTTCTAAGAGCACCGAGTCTGGCATACATACATAAATAGAATATTCAGGTGCTGATGCGATCAATAAACTTCCTTGAAAGGAATCTGTGATAGGTGTAGGTGAAGGATGATGAGTAGTGGATGTACTAGTGGTAGTAGTAGTAGTAGTGACAGTAGTGATACATGGGGATGTTTGGGTAGGTGAGCTAGGTTGGTTTTGTTGACGCTTGGAAGCAATCGAAAAGGTTTTCACAGCTGGTGATCGAAGTGGAGGTGATTTGGAACTGTTATTCACGTTGGCCAACTTTGATGTTGAGACGGTTAGTGGGGGCGTCATATGAGCACTCGAAGCTGCCGAAGTGGTTCGCCGTGAGATCACACCGCAATGCATCCTACCAAAGATAGATTGATGTACTAATCTGATGTCTGTACGTCGATAAGAAGGTAAATAAATTCGTTGAATCATTACGTTATCCTGTTGATCGCAAGTTCATCATCAGTTTGAATCTGTTGGAATACTATCAAATCAAGATGGATGATGAAAAAAAAACCAACGTTTGTATAGAGAGTAAAATAACCATCTTCTGTGATCACACCTTGAACCGTTTTCCATTGACCAGCACCTATACCATCCAAATTCATAGCTTGACCAGGACCAAGGGTAAGTTGTGAAAGAAGAGCAGCACTACTGGGAGAAGAAGTCAAACCCGAGATTTTCTTTTTGGCCTTTGCAACATCTGATCTTGCAGACCTACTATTGGATTGATTATTAGGATAACGAGCTAGATTAGATTGAGAAATATGAGTAGGATCGATTGCAGCTCTATCTTTTGCTGAATCAATTTGTTCGGATAATCCAACGGTCGAATTAGGAGAAAGAGGAAAACTCGAATCTAATAATTGAGATGTAGATTCTCTTTTACTTAAACCAATTAAATTCTTTGTACGTTTCTTTTGTCCTACGACTACTTTTCCTATGGTAGAAGTAGCAGTTGGTAAGGTATGATTTGTAAAAAAGTTTTTAGATAAACTTGTAAGTGAAGCAGGTGCCGATGTATTTGGAGTTGAAAGATGATCATAAACCCAAAGATAGAAATTTCCAGTCCATCTTCTTTGATTATCTTCTAAAGAATGATTGTTTAATGAAACATCAGGTGGTAATTCATTGATGATAGGAGGAGTGACGGTACTTTCATGAATTGAACTTAGTCGATGAGCTGAATCAGATGAATTTGGTCTTGGAATCAAGAATGGAGCGGAGATGGATCGTCTGAAGAATGAAGAAGCAGAATGATGAGCTTGACTCATTGGGTTCTCATCCTGAAGTTGATGTTGTTGATCTTCTGAGATTGAATCTGAATCGGTTACATTGTCTAATGAGGTGATGGTAGTATTGACATGAGAAACACTAGTTCTTCGTTGAGATAAAGATGAATGAAATGAATCTGTAGCCAAGGTTGACTGATGAAAAAGAAAAAGTTTAGGATCAGTTTGAGAACTAAAGCATTGAGAAAGCAGATGAACTCAACTGGAGGTGGTGAAGTATAAGATTCATTTGAGCTTGCTGCTGATTTCCAAATTTCCGAAGGTGAGTTGAGACGATTAGATGAAGATTGTAAGAGTGGATTGATAGGATGAAATGAAGAAGTAGGAGATCTTTGAGATGAATTGAGAGATGAAGTAGGCGATCGATCGATGGCTGTTTCCTGTTCTTGATCTTGATCTGATATGATTGAAGAAGAAGACGAAGAAGAAGGAAAAGGTTCTACTTTGACTGAGATGGGTTCTTGATGATGAAGTTCTTCAGTTTCAGTTTCAGTTTCATCTTGAGATTCGTCTTGAGATTCATCCTGAGATTCATCTTGAGATTCATTATCTTCTGGTTGATTTGAAGATTGAGGTGAGATTGAGCTTGAAGCTGGTGAGGTGAGTTGATCAGTGGTACTAATAGGTAGATGGTCATGGTTAGTATTGATAATTTTACTTTGAGATCTTCTAAGCTTTGATCGATGTGATTTGAATCCAGCAGTAGTCGTGTTTGCTGAGTTGATCATCTTCTTGAGTTCAGCTTCAACTTCAACTTTGACTTTGACTTCTCCTTCCACTTCCACTTCCACTTCAGCTTCAGCTTCAGATTGGTGGGTTTAAATTGGTTTGAGTTGAATCGATGCTGATGCTGAGCTTGGTCAACAGTTTTGGTAAAATTTTAATCCAAATCAAAACTCAAATTTCATTAAATTCTTTAAATTTTTAAATTTCAATTTCAATTCCAATTCAATTCTCAACTTAATCCTCATCATCATCATGAAGTCATCCTCAATCTCAGATCATTCTCATCCTGATCTTACGTATATACATATCGGATTCGTACTCATCAATAAAGTTAATGAGCTTCATCCATCTCTTTTCACATATTCAAATTGTAATTTAATAAAATTTAATCCTCTTTAACCTAATTTCCTCTCACACTTCATTTCAATTATTGTAAATTCCGTCACACTCACGAGTCACGAACCACATCATCTCAAGAATCATGATTTTAAGATCCAGGCTTGATATTCATTCAAACAACAGCTGACGATATGCGTTTAATTATCTAAGGCTCCATGATATCTGTCACGGAAGCAACTCTTACCTCGACGGAGATCACCTCCGTTGATTCTCGACTCATACAGCCGCGTATCAGACGGCAGTCTGGGAGGACCCCGGAAAGCTCCTGGAGAACAAACCGTCCTCGATCCATTCCGGCCCCGGCCCTCACACTTTCACTATTTGCCCCGAGGAGAGGTGGGTTAACATGGATTTCTCGGTGGTAGGAGAAGCGCCTTGATCAGGGCTCTCGATTACATATACTTTCAGTTTTGTACCACGTGTAATCACCGAGATATCCGTATGTAAGTACCCGACCCGAGCCGGTATGGATTTTCGTCGGTCTGGGGGGGCAAAAGTTACAAATCACACATTTCCCAAGCCACCAGTCATGTTCAGGGTCAGACATGTGTACCATCTGATAGCCCTCGTTGAGGCGCATCTTTTGCACCTGTCACATCTCTGGTACCATGTGACATGACTTCACAAAACACCGGTATCCGAAAACCCCCTCAGGACGGTTTGTTCTCCAGGAGCTTTCCAGGGTCCTAGTCTGGGCCTGTCTGGGCACTCCCGAGTCACACCCTGTCCCACCCCAAAAATCGAACCCTAAACTAGGTTACGGTACCGTCTCACATACCCGCAAAATATTGTTGATGTCTGTGTTCGTGTTGTCCAACTCTTCTTGCTCATCAAGTCCTGGTCCCTGGAACATGATGCTGCATTCCCTTGCACTGCCTTCTACCACACCCAGATGTGTTTGAATCTCGTATTGTGGAGAAGCTGTTTTGATGTTTGATTATTGGTTTTCCGCTAAGAATATGTAACATCTGTTGATGTTTTAGATATCCTTTGCTTGATGTGATAAGAAGTATGATTTCCAATTGCGAAGCCATTAAGAAAGAGAGTTTGTAACATTGGCATATATACCGGTAACACCCGGTCTACCTGTCGCACAGGCAACATGTATGACACCCCCCAGCGCAGAGAGTCAACACAATTTCTTCAAACCAGAACCTCACTTGTGGTGGTTAGATTTGTGCCGTTTTTGAACACCTTGATATAGCCTATAGAGCATGGTATGGTCATCTTAACACTCATTTCAAGCAATCTGGTATTTCTGATCCGTAAAATTTATGTAAGATCAATTGTGTTTGAAAAGTATTGAGACTTGTCAGTCTGCTGTGGTTTACCATTTCATTCAACACCTGGTAATTTACTTCAAGACTCTTGGGGGCGATGGTCAATTAGGGGGTTTCAAGTTTGGATTTTTTTTGTGTTTTTTTTTTAAAAATTGGTCAAGTTGTTCATAAAAATAATCTTTGTAAAACAGATATATTTTTCCATTTGGGACACCTAAAAAGGTGTCACTCTTTTTATAAAAATTATGCATGTTTTACAAGAACGGGCAAGAAATATGTAAAAATTAACTTGAAAAACCCTATTGGGAATGATCATACATACCTCTTATCACATCAACCAAAGGAAATCTAAAACATCACAAGATGTAACATGATTTGAGCAGAGATCAAAAGTGCAGCAAGGGGCAGGCGGGGAGTTACGGGTATTTTGATGTATAAAGTTTGATTGAAACCTGTTTTAGTTTTGATCATATTTGAGACCCTGCATTGAACTCTCATGTCTCATTTGTTTTACTTCACAAAGATGGTTGCACCAGAATCATAATTCTTATTACATCATGCAAAGTATATGCAAAACATCAAAAGATGTTACACATTCTTGGCAGAGAACCTATAATCAAATGTCAAAACAGCTTCTCCGCAATACGAGGTTCAAACACATCTGGATGTCCAAACCCAACATGTTATGTAGAGGGTGTAGAAGGTAATGCAAGGGAACACAGCATCATGTTCCAGAACTTGATGAGCAAGAAGAGTCTGTCAGGCGGCTACTCAGCAGGGCTTCAAAGAGTGTAAAAGGGCCCATGGTTTTTTGATACCATACTCTCATCCAGTCATCTCATTGATTGTTTGTCTACCATTCACAATTGTCTTAGTAGGTTTTCCTGCAGCCATTACACCCAAACTATGTAGAGATGATTTTTAACATATTGGGCTTAATATGACCACTCATTTTTCCCTTTTGATTAACTTAGATACTCTTGGTTCTCAACCCAGCCCAACCCACACACATTTTCTTCAAATTACATTGCTCTAGCTTCTAGGTGAGTCTTGAGATATTTCATCTGTAAACTCAATCACACATCTAGATAACTAAGGCTTGAACAACAAACTAGATCTTTCATCATGAATCTCAGTAATGTTGCAGTCATGCTCATGATCTTTATATCATCCAATCAAGTCTTTGGCACCATCACTCGGGGTCTCAATAGCAAAAAGGAACTCATACCTGCCGAAGCTGATCTAGCTGACCATACTGATCTCACTGGAATTCACCAATTTGAAGGTGATGATAAACCCCCCAGAACAAGGCTTTGCAACCACTACGGCCTGCTCTGTCATGTAGTAACACATGACACACACCAGGTGCCTTAAACCTCTCAAGGTTTCACAACACCCAATCCTGCAAACCATCTCCACAGTGCTTGCATGTGCATCACCTGATGACATTCAAGTCAATATCCCTTGTGTGCCAGTCCTAAACTTTGCTCAAGCATTTATCAACACATAATAAAACCTCACTATGTATTTATGTACTATGTACACTTGTTGCTGGGAGTTTAGTCAAGTTTGAAGCATAGTGCATATGCAATACATATACTAGCAGGGAAAATTGATATCATGTAGCAGCACACTTCATATCATGGCATCACAGGCACTTGCTATAGCTTTTTTTATGTGTGACTTCAGGATCAGTGGGTTCTTTGAAACCCCCAGCACCAGAGCCCATGTGACTGACTCACAGATACAGTTTGCATTCAAGGAGCTCTCTTGAGTTTCTTAATGATGGTATTCAAGATTTGAGAAGTGGCTTCCAGAGGTGTCCAGAAGTGACATCCAGAAGTTGCTGGGATGTGCTCAAGAATATTCTTGAGTGAAACCTCTGACCTGTTCTTTGCAACTTTGAGCGCCCCATTAAGTGCTGATCCTTGGTCACATTCACATTACCTGATCATGCCACAGGTCTCAGTCTATCAGCCAGTATTGAGAGGACTCAAAGGCATCACACACCATCATATGGCTCATCAACAAACCATCCCTTAACCATCTCAACACTGCTGTTGGCTATTCCTCTCATTTCTTAACTATCAAAAGATCTTCCTCTCACACCAACCCTTTGACATGCTTTGGTCCTTGTGCTGGAAATTTAAGAAGATCACAAGTTGGAAACCTCCATTTGAATGACTCTACAGCCAAAGTATGGTTGGGAGCACTCCAAACCATCAAGAATCACCAATACTTCTCTCCCAGGACATCACTTCCGGAACAAGAGACAACTAAATTCATATTTGATTGGATCAAGAAACACTCACAGGTAATGTTCCTCAAAGTTGTGAGTTTTTTCCGTACTTTCAAATCATAGATTTCATACTAGGTGATGGTCCTAACTAATTTCTTATCAATCCAGGCACAGATGACAAAGGAGAACTGTTTTGGCCTCCTTTAGAAGATTGAAGGCAACCAGAGTGTTGAAAACTAGTCTGCCAATTCTCAAGCTTCATTCAAACTTAAACTCTTGGTAGCTTTGATAAACTCAGACCTGGCTGAAAATTGAGAACAAGTGGCAATCATAGGCCATTTACATTAGGTTTTTCAGCACAGGCTCCCATGTAGTCTCAATCATTCAATGTGGTGTGTTTGACTTGGGCTAAACCACAGAGGTTAGTCTTGAGAATTATACCTGGCAATGTGTCTCAGCTATTGTTCAGCTGGAAGACAAATGTACCTGCAATGGCCTTCCCCACTTGAAGGTTGAAAATTTGATCCAAGATTGCCATAGATCACCCAGCCTTGTAAGGATTCATTGGATTTGTTGATGATACAATTGTCCCATCAGCATTTGAGCCAGCAAATTTCAAAGAAGAATACTGGATGGGTAAGTATTTAATGGCCTCAACTCCATTATGGTCAGCAACAATCAGCAAGGAATCATTTTTACAGGCACAGCTGGTGTGGGAGTATTGACAATCAAATGGTGTTCAGGACTTCCTCTGTCAGTCATTTTGTATGTTTATACTCACAGCCACCATATTAACCTTGGATTGGGAAATCCAAGGCATGCTTGGATCTGAAACCTTGGACATAAGATTTCCAAGGGTTTGATCCAAGGGAATCTTTGGCGCATAACAATACCTTGGACAAAAACCTTGAATAAGATTGGTCTGGGGATTTGCATCTGGGAGATCCAGGGCATCTATTTTGGTGGTGACTATATGAAAGCTTGATATACGAACTAGTGATTGGTGCAGTAAAATATAATTCAGCAAAATTTCCTAGTTTAGAAGCGTATATAATTCACTAGAATGGTGGTTTTTGCAGAGTGGAAACAAAAAAACATCTGGGTGTTCTCAGAATAAATTTTTGACTCTGACTCAATCATGCTCAATGGGGTCCAGATAAGTGACTTTGTAAAGCCTTAAAGACAAGAGAAGGAGGATAACTGCAAGAAAGATTGTTATGAGGCCTTCTTTTGTGCACAGTGTGTCTAACAAAAAAAGGTTGTGTGGTTGATTCATTGAGGCAAGATACAACTATACCAACGCTAAAGGTTCAGCGGTTGTTTGCATGAAGCATCGGTTTCACTTGAGAAATTGAAAGCTATCACATTCCCCCGTCTCATGTAATCAGCACCAGACAGGCCATCCAGAAAGTTTTCCCATATTACGCTGAATCCTGTCCACCAAAAATGTACCCAAAATAGGACTCAAAATGCTCCAATGAGATAGCTCAACTTGGAATTGTTGCTCTTCAGGATTGGAAAGTGGCGGTAAGTTTGGCATCTGTTTGAGGGGATGGTATCTTGCAGTCAGAAATGCTAGTGTTTTTTGAATGGATTACCCACATTGTCATAATGGATTGATGTAAATGACAAACCAGTGAATCTGCTGTTCCTGTTCAATATTGTTTTGAACAATATGAACCATTGGTTGTTTTCCATTTTGGTCTTTATGGGTTGAATTGGCTGGAGACATCGTGGAAAGTTGTGAGGTTGTAAGTGATGGAAGTGAACAATACAACATCAGTTGATTGCAATCCTGGGGGGTAACAAATCCAGGCTCATTGAGTTTGTTAGCCTTTCTCATTGAGCAAAAGACTGAGAATTTTTGGTTGTACTGCAGCCTCAGTGACTCCAGGTTCTCCAATTTGAGGGCTGGGGTTCCCCGGTGCAATCACTTTTGTCAAGTGAGGTTGGAGACCATAAGATACTTGGTGGGTTCATTGATCCATAAGGAGCTAAATTCATATGGCTAATCAAGAGACCAAAGATATTGAAACACAATTGGGAAGATAATGTGGATATCTGTCTTGGTGTTGTCCAATTCTTCTGGCTCATCAAGTCCTGAGGCACAATCCTGTGTTCCCTTGCATTGCCTTCCACATATCTGTATCATATCGTAATTGGCCTTGAACATCTAGATGTGTTTGAATCTTGTATTGTGGTGAAGCTCATTGTGGACTGGTGTACATGTTTGATTGTTTGTTCTCCGCTTAGACCACGTAATTCTCTTGTTGTTTCAGGGTTGCTTGATGTGACACAATAAGAAGTATGATTGCCGGTGCGACCATTGTGGTTAAGTCAAACAAAGGAAAATGGAGAGTTCACACAGCCAGAAAATTTACCTTGGATGTGAAAATCCAAGGAGACCTTGGATTTTGACCCCGAGGGAAGCTCTATCCAAGGATCTGATCTGAGGTAACGGCAACGGCCAAATTTTGCCTCAGAGGCATTCCTCGGGTGCCCTTTTCCTTGGGGGGGCATTCAAGGACTCCTTGGATGTTTGTTGCCAAGACAACTATGCGGGCAGTGTCAGTTCAATGCCAGGTCTCGGACTCTCAAACACGATTGAGCATAACAGGTTTGATTAGATCAACATACGTGTAACTCTCCGCGCGTCCCCCGCCGCGCTTTTGATCTCCGCTCAAATTACATAAGTAATTATGTTTAATGTTTTGGTTTGCCTTTGCTTGACGTGATTACACAATTGAGAGTACATAAATTTTACAGGTAGGACTTGTAAGAGACTGTTTGATCTGATGGTTGAATGACCATGTAGCATGCTCTACAGCAAGGCATTGGTTCAACCAGCACAAATTCTGACCTCACCACCGCAGTGATTTTTCAACTCTCTCTCTTTTGGCTTCATGACAAAGGTCGCACCGGCATAGGAAACCTAAAACTTCAATTTAAGCGGAGAACAAAAATTCAAAAGACGTGTGTTGTATGAGTCCACAATCGGCTGCTCCAGCATAAAAAAGTTGACAATGTTCATATTCTGCTGGTGTGGTGATCTATTTATGGGATCAATCAAAAAAAAAATCATTATTACTTTACCAAGTTGTTAGAAAACTTCAGTGTAGCAGGAAATTCAAAATGGGGGTTTTCAGAGCAATTGAAGCTCTTATAGGCTTATGTGTATTTATTGGGTCAAGATTATGTCATCATATTTCACATATATTCTTAAGTTCATTATAGTTTACTTACAAAGTTATTACAAAAAGACAGAGAAGGAAAAGATAAGAAAAATTTGAAAATGTAGGTGTATAGGTTGGAAAATGGGTTTTAGGGTAGTAATATTAGGGTTATGGGTTTTATGAGGTTAAAAGATGAAAGAAAAGCATTATATTATACTGTAACAATTTTAATCTTGAAGGTTGATAAGAAGAAACAGAAGTTATCAGGAGAAAGGTACTTTTTTGAGGATGGTAAACAAGGGTTAGATGTGTAAATTACATATGTAAAGGTGGTAGTAGCAAGATTTAAGGCTGCCAAGAGGATTTTCCGGGATTTTTAAGGCTATACAAGCTGATTTCATATTACATGAGCAGTAAAAAAAGAGTAGCAGCTGTGAAAAGTAACAAAAATGGGTGAATTTTGTCAAAAATGAAGGTTTTCAGCTAATTACATATGTCAAATGACGTCAGATTGTGATGGTAGAGATCTCATCCAACGCAGAAGAGTAGATTACATAATGTACAAACTTTAAATCACTAGCAGAGGAGGTGTATGAACAAAGGTATAAGGGAAATAAGAAATTGGTGTGGATCTCGAATTTACAGTCACAAGTCAACATGTAACACCAAAACCCTTAACTTCACAACTCAATATCTTACTCATCACTCATCAGAAGTAGGTCATATGGGTGTGATAAATGATCAGTATTACAAGGGCTACAAGATGCACTATAGTAATCCAAAATTGGACCCCATCTGAAAACATTTGTAATCTCAAAAATTGGTTTGCAGCTAGTTTACAAGGAAACAATCACCTGTATTCATCATAAGAAGTGCTGTACATCAAATCATTGCGTCATTGATCACTTTTGGCTGTGAAAATTACATCATACATCAGTAACAAGATCATTACATTGTGTCATCATATGGTTTTTAGGGTTCTTTAGGCGGATTTGGCTGGTTTTTGAGGCTGTTGACTATTGTAGAGGATGTTACATGTGGATATAAGTACTCCTTGATGATTTTGGGATTTTTTTCCCCCTTCTGTATCTTATACCTTTGTTGTAGTGCTATAAATCATCATTTATCTACTATATTTGTACTAAGATCACTTAAATCCGCCCCTTCAAAGCAAGGAGAAATTTGTTTACGTGTGTTAAAGACTATAAGTCTCTTTGGGAATAATACTTACAACAGTATTGCTAGTAATAAACATAGTTTGTGGACTTTTTTGCGCTTCAAATCTGGGAATAATACTTACAACAGTATTGCGATATTTCTCTGGTGCCTTTATCTATTTCTCTGTTATCACAAAGTGGTCAGCAAGTGCCCTTGTGCTGGTTTCTTTGAATAAGGAAGTCTTTAGGCAACTTCTAATATATTACACGTAGTAGATTATCCCTTCTTAAGTGCTGTAAAGCTCTTGTTGAGCTTTAAATACTCCACCGGCCAGCATGATCCGGCTCTGGAGAAGACAATGTGTACTGTAAGATCCTTCCAATTGCCCTGCACCCAAATTCAGCTGATGGTGCCTTGAAGCAACAAGATGCTTGACATGCAGCACATCAGTTACATACAATCAGTCAGACCCTGTAGATATCTGTTGAGCTGAGTAGGGTGCATCAAAAGAAGCTGATTATTGCAATACTTGGATAATGGGGATGTGACCTCAAGAATACCGGTATCCAATACCGGCCATAAGTTTCAAATGCTGCAAGTCAGGGCTTGTATGTAAAGAGAGTTAACTGTGACTGCTGTGATATGCCTTCAAAGGTGTGGAGATTCATGTTGACATGCTATGTATGGAAGAGGGCGGCAGATGTTATGCAAGATCAGCTGCATCAAGCTTGGGGGTGTCTGATGGGTATAAAAGCCAAACAACTTTCATGATATTTCCTTCTAACCTGACAAACTTTGGCTTTTTCCTTCATCTTGATAATTGGTGGTCTGCTCATTTTCTTACTCTTGAATTTTTTTGAATAACTTCAATGACTGATTAGGATACATAGGTTATCTTTTTGTGCTGTTGAATTTTTGTAGATAAATTAGCTCTTTCATCAAACACAACCAAGATTCTCAACAGACCCAACCCACAGTTCCTTTGTTGTATGTTACCTGCACAAATCTTTCTCCATATTCATATATCTCCACTGACTTGAATGGACATTTCAGGTCAAACAAAATGAATGTTGTCAGCCCCATTGGAACCATTGTGCTTATCTGCACCACCACAGCAACTGTTCAAGCCATACCCATTGGAGATCAAGATTCAATGGCGGATTTTCAATGTTACCAAAGAATTTCAGAAGAAAAACAGACTTTTGATGATGGAGACATGGTTTTACCTTCCAGCCACACAGAATGGTCTGATGTTTATGGTGATGGGAAAAATGGTTGTTGTGATGGTTATTGTTGTTTTGGTTGCGAAATCATGTGAGTAATACCGCACAAACACGTCTTGTGACCAAGAATTTCAAAAGAAAAACAATCATCAGACAATGGAGACATTTACGGGATACAAAGTAGAATCCAGGCATGTGCCCGGCCTTGTGCCCAGATTTTTTTTGGCAGTAAATTTTGATTTTCTGGGCAAAAGTCCGGGCCCAGAATTCAAATTTACTTCCAAAAGGATTCCAGGCACAAAGACAGGCACATGCCCGGATTCTACTTTGTATCCCATATATGTTTTAACTTTCAGCCAGAAGGAAGGGGATGATTCAGTTTATGGTGATGGTAATAACAAATATTGACATGGTCATTGTTGTTGTGGTTGCACCACTATGTAAAAGTGAACACACAGACACAGCTGTCTAACAACAGCTGTAGATAAGGAGGAGCATGTACTTGATGAGATGATGAAAGCATGGCATTTTGACGTGATTCCTGAATACCTGTTTTCAAAATGACATGCTTCCATCATCTCATCAAGTATAAGCTCCTCCGTATCTACAGCTTTTGGTAGACAGTGGTGTCTGTGTAGTCTCTCTTACATGATAGTGCAAACACAACCACAATAACCATTCACCTGTGCAAGCTGTAACTTATCAAGCCTATTGGATGATATAGACACTTGCACAATCCAATAGGGTTGGTATCTCTCCTTTTAGAATTTACCAGCTGGTTATAGTGACTAGCTCCAAGTCCATCAGAAAAGATTTGGAAGGAGATGGGTGCAAGTGTGAGTAAAATATGTAGGCTAGGACACAAAATAGTTGTGCCATGTTGGTAGTCTCTCAGGCTACAACACCTCTTCCACAACAAGACTTGTACAAAATGACCATTCTTTGATGAGTTGTTCTTTTAATGTGCCCTGTGAGTCTTGTGTTTGTAGACATTGTGAGTATCTCAGACCAACCTATGAGGTCCACTCCCCCCAGGGTGATCTACTCTTACTTTGTGGTCAGAGTAGTTTTTTTTAGGCAGTGGCACAGCCTGGCCTCCAAAGGTGGTTCACAAGAACCAAATTCTTCTTGGCTAGCTAATCTGAATCAGGAGTTTTGCTTTGCTGTACTTGTTCTTCAGGGGAAGGGGGGCTTTTTTTAAGAGATTTTGGTAGAAAAACTTTCTGGACTTAGATACTTGATTATCAGATCAATTCCAGCTTGAAGTTTTAAATGTGTGGTTGAGACTCTTTTCAATTGAGCAAAAGGACTCACAGTGATCTCCTTCAATAGAGTGTCTTGAAATGACACAGACATCCCAGCTGTTTCTTTAGCCACCCATGTACAATGAAATATCTTGATATCCCGGCAAATGGGATGGAAATCAACTCAAAGAAAGTGATCCTTGATTTTATATCAAGGTAGCGCTTGAGACAAGATCCATACCGTAAGAATCTGGTTGAGTCCTTTGTTTTTGAATGGGGTTGGTGTTTTTTTAACCAAGAAATTAGCTATTTGCCAGTGGCTCTTTTTAGCTTCCTGTGCTTCAATTTTGAAATCAGTTGGCATAAGATTTGTGCCAGCCTCAATCACAGCTAGTCAGCCTGCACATGGTTTTTGACAGCGGCCTACCATGTATCCATCACGGTGAATCTTCAAATTTAAATTGGAGTCATAATATATACCTTAGCCTGAGATGAAGGTGGGTGGTTGGATTCCTTGCCAGGACTTGTTGCCATGATGAAGAATAATAATAGTATATAATTCAACCGGAGACAGTATAAACTTAAACAAGAACTTGAGGTTTAAATTGGATGGTTTGAGAAAAGGAGTTTTGTATTGGTTTTGATAAAGACCAGAAGGATAGACAACACAGACTGCCTCACCATAGCTGCATGGCCTCAGCAGCAAGGGGTGGGGGTTGGCTTGTGACAATGATGAAGGTAAGTGATGATATCACCTGGATGTTGAAGTGTGAAAGGGAAAGATAATGACACTAGCTTACACAGGTGGGATTCCCCCTACTGAAAAAACCGGGTGGCCCCGTTGAAGCTGATTCTACCTGTTGCACTGCTCAGAAACCCATTTCCAAAACAACACAATCCCCAAGAACTTGAGCCATTATTGGGCAGCACGTAGTGGACAAACCTTTTGCCTGGTTGCAATGCCAGGCTGGGGTGTTGTGGTGTGTTTCTGGTTGATTGCACATTCTGCATAATGCATTTGCCCAATTCCAGGGTGGCACTTACTCTAGTGGTAAAAGGTCTAGTTTTAACTAGAAATCCTGACAAAAAATCCTATTGGGTATGCAGGATTGATGGTATCTGTCCCTAGAAACAGATGAGAATGAATGCTGATATGTTCAATGTTTCAATCAGGAAACTGAGAGTTATCTAACGGTAACTTTTGCCACGGCTTAGCTGGAAATAGCATAGTTGAACTGGTCAGGCTCTAGGCTGTGGTTCTAAAGATAAAATATCTCAGAAATGTCTGGGTTAAGACCACAGGGATCTTGTCAACTTTGGGTTGCAAGAACAGTGGTACATGACCAAGTAGAGTTTTACTGTTCTTGAAACAGGGGCAGTGAAAGGAGGGAGGTGGAGGATTCCAAGTGTTACTTATGTCAAAAGTAAACTTAAGCTGACACTTCTTGAGGAAATTTTGGAATATATCAGGCAAGTGGAACTATCCTTTGTTGGAAGAGAATAGCTGTACTGTGGTACAAAATGCTTGGTAAATTTGCTATTGGTCAAGAAGGCAAGTCCTCTCCTCATTTTGGAAAGAGCTCTCCATTTTATACCTCACAATGTGTCCTGGCTGACTTGTGGCTCTCTAAGAGTGGTGCACTGGTTCCCTATTGGGAAGCTCTATCTGGCTGACTTTTGGTTTGGCCGGATTGGGAACTCTATTATTTGTTTTGCCAGCTTGTGGTAGTGCCCAATTGAGAACTAAAGGAGTATATGTTTTAATTCTCCCTTAGTGCCTCAGTGTTTGGGTTTGCCAAGTAGGCCTTTGTTTCCTGGATAGATTTTTGTTCTTAACATTCACTGTGCAAGTGAGTTAGTTTTGAGAGGTTGCCTTTAATGCTAGGCACTAGGTGTCTTTTTGGTGCAATATTATCATTTGTAAATATTGGTTACCTTTGATCCTAGGTACATGGTGTGTATCTAATGACGATCTAAATTGGTCATGATGATAGTGTTTATTGATGTATTTGAAAACAGACACAAGTTGTATTAGAAATTTAGAGATATATTTATCATTTTGTTATTCGGGTAGTAGCCTCTTTGGCTTTATCTAGCCTGAGCTTGGAGGCTGACATCCAAGCTGACTTTGGTCCTGATGGCACATAACATAGCCTCTTCTAAATTAACACAAGTTCCAATTCTTGCAGGGCTTTTTAACCCTTGCAAGCTTGGTGCCCTGAAGACCAGAGAATTGGAGGACTGCCGGAGGGTGGGAATTGCGGGATTGGGAATGGGCTGTACAAGCCTGTACTCATTGCCATGTTTCAGTCCAGAGGTTGAGGCTGAGCAGTACACAACAGACTTCTTTGTCAACATTCTTCCCATTGGCCTACATACAAAACCATACTTTGTCTATGTTTTTAATGCATTTTGAGTACATGATGCAGTGCTCAACATAAGACTACATCAATTTTCAATAATCTTGACCAATCATTCCTTTCTCCTCTGACCAGATCAAAATAGCTTTATTTATGTTTGCTTTGCAAATTAGCGTCTTATTAGTTAGCTTTGTTTGATTTTAATTTAGCATACTTCACAACCATGTCGTAATGTTGTCAAATATCACTCAAGTGTTGAAGTGCTCGAATGAGGTCTTGAATATGTTTGACGGTCAACTCAGTAGGTCATGAATTTCTTTTCTTTGAATCTACAGAGTTGTGATCTTGCGTAGTAACATTGCTCATCTTCTTCTTCTTTTGACTTGATTCAGATCCACCATCATATTCATCACCATCATCAAGATTGAATCAAAAGACATCATATGACAACTGAAGCCTCTAGTCAAGTCACATTTCCTTGTGATGAAAGGATGAGAAGGTGACTGATTTTGTTAATCCAAAATGATCAGTTTATTGCTTTGGCACACTGCCATCCAACAAACAGTACGTTTGTGATCATTAATGCATTTTTGAAAAATGTTTTGGGACATGTTTGAGCCAGTGGACTAGGGCGCTAGCTGGAATTCTGAAACTGGAGCCATGCCGAATTGGGTGGGGACTATATTCTGTATGTCAATTCATTTGTACAGTACCCCATTCCCAATCTCCGCAATCCTCTGGTGCTCTAAACTTAACAAAGTCCCGCGCTCGCGCATCCTCGCGAGGCGTCGAGCGAGGGACTTATGCCAAACTCGTACAAACTCATTGCTCAGGGTTTTGGATTTTGCAGGGAGCGTCCTTTGAACGCTTCTACCATTTTCCACACCGAGGATTTGGAGATGGTCAAAAATAAAAAGTTGTGCGCCTGACTCCGGCGCATAATGTACATATTTTTTTTCCGAGGATTGTGCTCCCCTCCACAAATGAAAGCTCTTCAAAGTTTGAGATTTCAGAGAGATATAAAGGATTCACAGCAGTTACACAGCGGTCTACATGTTGCATGTTCTCTCAAGCACCAAACTTT